TTTTCATTTATTATTCATTTATCATTTTTCATTTCATATAATAAAGTTGGTTTACAGCGAATTGGCCACCTTAATATGTACGGTGAGCAAAAAAAGACGGAACAGCCAGAATAAGTTTTGGTATAATGATCTAATGTTCACGTTCTAGGATTCAATTTTCATAGTTCGAGGAGGTGACCTCCAATATGCTAATTAATAAGTGCAGACGATATTTTAAGTTACGAAATCAGACCCAAAAACGTACTTTCTCTGAATAAAAATTCTTTTTTTGCATATTTGAATTCTTAATCTACAAAATATAGGGGGTAGTCGCAATCTGGGAAATGTGATCCCCATAGTTTGGTCAGGAGAGCGATTCAAAGTTTGGACCCCTTAATGTTAATTTCACTTTTTGTGTTTTTAGTCAAAATTTAAAAACTAAGAAAAAGCAATTTAAGAAAAATTGTATCCACTCATAAAACTCATTCACCCAACGATAATTTCATGCGAAAAATAATTTTTAATAAATATTTATTATTTAATTAAATTGAGGATGAAAAACTTTTGAATTATGAGGTATGAATTTGTTTATACCATATTAATCTACATATTTTTCAATTGAAAAATCTAAAGTTTCAACTGCTTTTATTTAGTAGAAGCTGAGAAAATTAAAATTAATTATTTTTTAAAAAATAATTTGGTGACAATGAAGAAATAATAAAATGGGGCGATTAATATTAAAATGTGATTAACTTGCAAGGAACTTGACTTCGCGCACGTAGCGTAAAATTTCATTCATATTTTTTTTCTCTAATAACTGATTGTTAATCTTTTTATTTATTTTTTTTTAAACTATAAAATACGATGTTTCCTTTTTAGTCGTCTAATAATTTTTTTATAATTTAGTAAGGAAATTTAAGTGAAACATTTTATTGAATAAAAAACATTTTAGTCAACGAATGTCGAATTTTATAAAAGCATGCTTCTGATAGAATATGATTATGCACCAAATTGTGCTTATTTAATATGATTATTTTTTATTTTGTTTTCTCAATAACTGATACAATTTCAATAATATACATGCGCATGCATGGATTTGGAATAATACATTTATCAATTTCTTGAATATATGTTTTATAATTATTCATAAAAATACGTAGTCAACATTTTTAAGCATCTCAAAATTTCTCAACATCTTATATATCGTCTTAATCTTAAAAGAAAATTTTTAATCAGTTCTCCGGGAGTGTTCGCAGAATTATTTTATCAACTGTTTAATTAAATTTTTACATCTTTAAAAATCTTATTCTTCACGCTACTACGTATATTATTTCTTCATTAATATGCTAATCAATTTTTTAGTACTTTAATTTAAGTTTTCTTTAAGGTAAAGTTCCTTTTTAAATTATTGTCAAGTTTTTCTTAAAAGAATCATTGTCTGCTGGCTAAGAATAATACCTTGTTAAGAAATTAAAATTATTCTACTGTTTAAAATTATTTGATGCAGATGAACAGCTGATTATTTACTAAGCATACTATTTTTTTTCGAAAAAAGATTATAAATTATTAATTGTCTTTTTTCTTTTTTCTTCTTTTTTTGTCTCTTGTAACTTCAACATAGATCATCTAAAATAGTGTTGATGTTTTATAAGTCACTACAAAGAGTATAAAGATAATAAATATAAAAAGCTGTCAAATGCGTAGCCAAAATTTCTAAGCGTCTTAAAATATCTCAGTATCTTAAATGTCGTCCTAACATCTTAGTAGTGAATTTAAATTTTTAATTATCTGACCACGTGTGATTCATAGAACTATCCAACTAATTATTTCAATATATCTTTTACTCTTTCTTTATGATACCATGTAGATTTTTTTTCGGATAATATACTAAAATATTTTGTTTACTTTTTAACTTTAGCACGATTCCCAAGATATTATTGTAGTGTAATTTGTTATCAGGAAAATGCCTCATTTTGTTAAACAGCAAATACTAAAAATTGAAATTTATAAAAAGATTCTGAAGCCGTGCCAATTTCAGAATCAACTGATTTTTAAAAGAAATGCAGTAGAAAATATGCAATTTTCGAACTTATTTTGATAAAGAAAAAAAAATACGCGGCGAGAAGTACTTCTTACAGAAACTGTGAAAACCTATTTTTCCCATATTTCGTCATAAGAGGATAAGAATGATGCTGCTCCAATACTCAATAATTTCCTTATTTCCAGAATGAAATCAGTTTGATCGAAACATATTCTTCCTTGAAAATTAAAACGAGAAGAAAATTAACTTTTATTATTTATCTAAGCTTATTTCATTTATTTAATGATAGCGACATCAAGGTTAAGGATATGCGATGGATGCCCAGTTTACTATTATACTATAAATGCATTAAATCATATAGCTTGAATAATTTATTTTAAGCAAATCATTTAATAATTATTAGCAAATAAGGGTGTAGAAATAAACTCGATCGAAATACTCCTAAAGTATACCCTAAAATATATGTAGAATAAACTTTGGGATCGATAGATAAAAAATACCTTTTCAAACAACTTCGAGCAGGACGGGAACACAAACTTGTTTGAAATAACTGTCCTTGTAACTATTTAATTTCGATTCCTGGTGCTAGGGGACATTCCATTTTCACATTCGACTTTTGAAATTTCAATTGTAAACGGAATTTTTTTATGTCCTTACAAAATGTTAAGACTTGCAGCAAAAAAATAAAATAAAAATAATAATTGTACTGCATTGAATTTTTCTAGAAAGTAGTGAATTATTATTTTTTCAATCTAAAAGCCTGTGCCTATATCGTACGTAAAACTTATTTTAATATCCAGTAAAATAATTTAATATGTTGTGTAACTAAATAGATAATCCTAAGAAACTGAGCCGAAAATATAAAAACTTCATTGATTTAAAAAAAATAATAGATGATAATAAAAATAGACATGTTTGGAACGTTCAATAATTAAAGTCACAAGTCATTCAAGCCTGACAAGTCTTGAGAATGGGCGCTTAGATTTGAGCGCTCGAAACATGTCGACTTTTACTTCCCTCTTCATATTTTCTGAAGCCAGTTGAGTTTTTATCATCAATTATACTGCTTTACATTTGGGTCATGATCATTATTTTGATAAGGATTTTACACTCGTTAAAGTAAACATATGCATTTTAATATTTTAATAGGATTTATGTGGTCTTTAAAAACGTAAAAGAACCATAACATCAATATAGTAAAAGTTATCTTTAACTTCAAAATTAAAATTTTGAGACCAGATATTTTGAGTTAATGAAATTGAATATTTTATCTTTTAAGTTTTTGTGCCCCCATTTCATTATCTTAAGGACCTTACAAGTTCTGTTTAAAAAGAGAGTATCGCATCAGATACATATAAGAGACAAAAATAATAATAGTAGCAGTATTTGGTGGTAAATGTATTTTATCGTAATTGAAGAACATGATGTGCGATATTTTATGGTGAATTTGCGAACGTAAGTTGCAGAATGTATCGAAACATGAGGATGCTATTTAAAATCATCTTTATCCAAAGAAAACCATGTAACCTAAATATCTAGCAGAATGAAGCGATATTTTAAACAATGAATCAAAAAATATGAAACATATTATTTCAATATCTTATTCTTTTTTTTTTTCAAATGGCTGGCACTGAACAATATCTTATTCTTAAACATAACATAATTCAATGCTTTTAAAATGCCACTTAACATTCAACAATTCCATGAGTTATAGAAAAAAGAAATATCGTAAATTATAGAAAACCTTGTGAATGTCCATTAGAATTACTATACAATTTACCTTTTATTTTCCAAGCACTTTTTTTTTGTTTCTTCAAATTTTCTTGCCTAGAAAATTCGATTAAAGCTGTAACAATGATTATCCCTAAAATTTTGTATATCAATAATAAGTATGAAATCCACGTAAAAATATAGTAAAAACAACTTAAAAAATCTAAATAATGTCAGATGAAAAGTTCATGCACTTAAATTCTAAAAGCTTAGAAAATCGTAAATAATTTATAAATTGATTCAAATTTTCTTCTAAAAGGAGATTAAAAGAACAAAAAATCTTTGCATTTTGGACAGAATGTTGATAAAAATTGTCTATTGCATAGAAACTTCGAAATATTTTTTTTTTAACTATTAATTAAACCTCCCCGAGCAATTACGTCCCGCAGTGGACACGGTTCCCAGCAGATCACCGAAGTCAAGCATCACTGTCAGTGTGCGGGTGGGTGACCACTTGGATCAGAGGGACCGAGGGTGTGCGGTATTGGTCCTCGTTAAACTGTGCTACCGTAAAGTGCTCGACTTCGCGCGCAGGTAGTCGGGCTATCGAAGCGGGGGTGCCATCCCCTCCGCAGAGAATCAAAATTGTGATGGCGTGTCTTCGGATCATCCTCCGGGATGTTTCCCAGACCGTCGCCAATAGCTCATGTGCAGCTCTAGTGCGATGTAAATTAACAACAGCAACAACAACCCAGAACAATCACAGAAAATTAATTCTTTTTTTTTTACAGTCAGAGCTTGGTTGTGCTTAGCAACCAAGTTAAACTAAGTATTCCTCTTTTGAATTAGTCTATGGGTTATTTTAAAGTATTTATTTGCGGCGGCGACTTTTGTTGGCTGTTTTCTGGACTATCGCCAAATATATAAACCTTTATTGCGACCCAATTTTTTCGAAATTTTGTCTACTCAAGGGCCAGGATTCCAAATATGTAAAAAAAATGTATGCTTATTCAGAGAAAGTACGTTTTTGTGTCTGAATACGTCACTTAATTAATAGTTAGCACTAATTAATTAGCATATTTGAGGTCACCCCCAAGATTCATTAAGATTGACACTTAGTTTGGGAGTTTATCAGGGTGATGTCTTTTTCTTGCGGACTGTGCATTAACAATTAAAACATATACATATATAAGACCTGATAATAGTGCGGTGAAGTTTTCAAGTGATGGCAAAATTGAAGAAACTTTGCTAAACTTAATTGTCATTACACTAGCACTTTAAATAATCACTTTATTGAAATATTTGTACAAAGCAGAGATAACCACAAAACTGTATTTTATAACTTTGTGATTTCAATAAATAGTAACAAAGTTTAGAACATCAAAAGGAAGATACTTTTTGCAGGGAAACTATCTCCAGTATCATTTAAAATCTTGCAGCTCTTTCCTGTTTTGATAACATTTCAGACTCTCTGGATTACTGACAGAATCTAAGTTGACAGGCAAGTTATTGATTATTCTTTTCACTATTAATTCTAATTTCTTTCCATTCGTATTCATCTGGAAAAAAATCAAAAATAAAATGAGTTTTAATAAATTTAATTTTTATTTAATTGATTTATGATAATCAAACTTAAATTTATACAAAAAAAAGGTGTTGAAAGGAGACAAAATGTCAATCAATAAATCAACTCATTAACAAAAATCAAGATTAAAATATTTTAATAAGCCACGTGCAAATGAAAGATGTCTATTTAATCAGCACATTGTAAATCATTGATGTTTGAAAAACTTTTCTCGAACCTTTTTTAAATTCACTTCTCAAAACTTAAAATAGGACAAAGTCTCATGAAACCAGTACTTTTGACAAAACTATTGCAGAAATCCCATGAAATTAGTGTCAGACAGGCGCTATGATACTTAGAGATGAATGAAAGACAGTGTAACCAATTAGCTTTGGAAAATTTGATTAGAAACATTTTGATTTTAAGAATATCTAGTTTACTCTGTAGTTTATAATAACAAGAAGATTTATTTTTGGTAAATTCAGCATCTGATAACACATTTATTGCTGTTATTTTAAATTAGTAAAACAGGTTTTGTTTAAACTACTGTAAGCTTTTTTTTCTGTTAAAGAGCGTTGTTGTATAAAATCGACGCTTTTCATTCGAATAAAATAGGGTTATACACAATCCTTACGAAAATGTGAGGTATTTAGTTTGTTTTGAGGTATATATGAGGTATATTTGAGGTTGGTAAGAAAACAACCAAAGGTGATTTTCAAGGTATGCAGGTTGTTTTTCTGACACTTATTACAGAATATGTATTTATGAGGTATAGAAAAATTTACCTTGGTTCAACTAAAGATAGTGAGGTACTTATTGAGGTGTATGAAGTCATTTTATTTATACCTAAGCTTATTTTGAGGTTATTTTAAATTCACTTCATATCAACCAGATTGATAAGGGGATTTCAAAGGTATACCGGGTCGTTTTTCTGACACTTGTAACGAAAAAGGTATTTATGAGGTACAAAAAATTTACCTTATATCTAATAAAGAGAGTGAGGTATTTATTGAAGTCATTTTATTTATACCAAAGCTTATTTTGAGGTTGTTTAAATTACACTTCATACAACCTTCCCAGAGTGCCGTGCGTGCCAGCGAATGGCGTGTGTGTTGACAATTGAAAGTCTATGCGAAATTCGGTAAGTTACATTTATTGATTTATTATCACTTTTAATCAAACATGCTTCAATTTTCAAATTTTAACTTTTATTATTTTTGTTTTAAAGACGCGTCCTGATCTTAAATAATTAAAGTCGAAGAATATTCTTAGAGGCTGTTGTCGTAGGCTTAGCAATAAGAGAGAAAAATCAGAATATTTCTCGTTCCTGTTAAGGGTGACGCTGTTAGGTGAAACGTTATATTGCTGAGATGACGTAGGCTGTATATAGCACATGTGCAGCAACGCGGAAGAAGTGGCTAGCAAGTTACTGCTCAGCCTTCCCCAGGATAATAGGTCAGATTTTACACTAAAAAGAAAAAGTAATCTCGCATAATAAACTACTGAATTTATATAAGCATTGATAACAATTATTTGCCTGACAGTTGATAATTAAAAACTAATAACTCTACTAGCTCACTTTTTCATGTTTGAGCACAGAACTGGTATATTTCACTACATGAAAATTTTTTGCAATTTATCCGTGTTAATTATTTACTAATCAGATTGTTGATACTTATTAGAATATTAAGCAGAATTAAATAAAACCCGATTTCAAGTTTATATGATAATTTTTTTCAAGGTTATGAGAATTTTCATGCAACTGCTTATGGTTCACTACTTAAAAAATTAGCTAATTTTTGAAATCTTAATTTTTTTATAAAAAAAATCAGTATTGTTTCTTATGTAATTTTAATGCTGAATCGAATGAAATCAATTGCAAATAAAAACATTTATTGTTTGAAAGTATTGCGCATTTTTTTTTTTTTTTTTGAATTTCACCCTATGAGATATATTTTTATATTTAAACAGATGATTGTAGCAACTAACAATTTGTTTCATTCTGCTCGGAATTATAAGTTACGTAGGAACTATTTCACTCAACCTCTTTCAAAAGTACTACATATTTCAACTCGTTCTCTCTTCGATACTTTCCTTTCATGAAATTGCTTACAACTTTAAAACAAATGCTCCCATCAGCTTGTCGTTAGTTTCATTCGATTGGGTGTAAAAATTGGTACCTTACTTTAAAATTTTATGTTTTTAAATGATTGATTCTTGATTACATTGATTAAAATATTAAAATAACTATTTCTGCGAAACTCTGATGTGATTGACAATAACGGAAGTCCTTTTCAGAATAAGAGTCAAAAATGTATTTAAAAACAATTAGTTATCTGAAATCTGGCAAAAAGTTTAATATATAGACCAATCTTATTGAGTATAGGTAAAGATTTGTAAGACAAACAAAAGAAAATCAAATTATCAAACTTATGAGCTCGATAATGGAAGATGGAGGCTTAATTATGGGAAAATAAAAGTGTTAAAATTTTCTAATAAGATTGGAATTAAATATGTGAATTTCTGTAAAGATTGTTGATAGTAGTACTTTCTTCAGTGTATTTTATTTTATAGCTGTGGTACCTTTCACACTTTTAAACGCTTTTAGCTACAAGGATTTAATAGAAATAACCGAAGTCGAGTACCATTTATATGAATAAGAAAATTAATTTCATCCAGTTAATTTAAATCAGGAAAAAAACAATTTATGATTTCTGATATTTTAATATTTTAAAACCTGGCGCTATTATTGTGATTATGACTTTCCTACTGATTCATATTTTTGTCTTTTAGGTTCCAATACTTCCAAGTTTCAACAGGGAGACAGAATCAATATTTAAAATAATTTTGCTGGTTTATAAAAAAGAAACGAAATTTTAATTTTAAATAAAATATTTTGAATGTCAGCTGACCAATTATTTAAATTTTCAGTTTTATGGTTTTAAAAATTCAAGCACCTTGGACATCTAGCTTATAAAAATGTGAGCTCCAGCAAAAAAAAATTTTTTTAACTGTGGAACTTAAACAAGTCTCATTTCAAAATAACTTAATTAATCCTATTAAAATTACAGAAGAAGTATGTATTTGAAACTTAATTTTATAGCTTAGCAAACAAAGCAATTACTGCCAAAGGTGTAATATTAAAAACTTCAGGTTGATAAATGAAGATCGCTACTAGTGAAAAAAGTTAAGGATATGCTTTATTCTTTATATAATATAAATAATACTGAGATTAGAAATTAATAAACTAGGTGGACCGTATAACACCTCACATTTGTTAATTATTACCATTGCAAAGTATTTAAAAAAATAACTTTACGATGAACTATAAAAGTGTAAAATATCGCATCTTAGGTTGATAAATAAGTACCTCTAAAATAAGAAAAATAAATACTTGAGGTTACGAAGTAATAACCTAAGGTAGAACATAGAACACCTCACATTAATAAAAAATAGCCTTTCCAAGTGTCAGTAAATACACTTGAGGTTGATTTATAATAATCAACAAAAGTACAAAAAAAGTTCAAAAAAGTACAAAATGGCACACCTTAGGTTGATAAATAAATACCTCAACAACTATATAAGTCCACACTGACTTGTAGAAAAATAATAACCTAAAGCAGAACATCAAACACCTCACGTTCATAAAAAACAACCCACCCAATGGGAACGAAAAATATACTTGAGGAGGATCTATAAAAACTTGATGTGTAAAATGACGCACCTTACGTTGATAAAAAAAATACCTCAACAAGTATAAAAATATATACTTGAGGTTGAAATATAATAACCTGAGGTAGAACAAAAAATACCTCACGTAAGTAAAATATTACTTTTACAACTGTCAAAAAATACACTTGAGGTAGATCCAGAATAATCTGAAGTGTTAAATTAAACACCTTTTGTTGTTTTTGTAATTATTTGTACTGGTGTAAGAAAATATACTTCAGGTTGATAAGTAATAATCTAAGGTTGAAAACGAAACACTTTAAAGTAGTAAATATCTACCTCTCCACAGATGTTAGGTTGATCTCCACCTCAGGTTGATACATATATACCTATTGAGATATATTTGCGATATTCATTTGCACGCTTTGTAACCTAACGGCGTATTTAAATAACAACCTCATTTATAACTTTGAAAAATACCTCAGACATACCTTAATTTTTCCGTGAGGGAAGACTGTAAATTACAGATTAAGTCAAGTCAAAATCCCAAGATTGTTGAATACAGTGCCTCAACACTAAAGGATGGGCGCATGACGCCTTTTACAATTCTACACACTGTAAAAACTGTAACTATTCGAGTACGGTGTTGAAAAATTCTAAATCTTCCAATGTTATTTGAAGTTAATACTGAATCTAGCGTTCATACTAACTTTAAATGGTGTAGTTAAATCAAAACTCCAATAAATGAGAAAGTTTACACCAAAATCAGATAAATTTACTCCATTCTTGAACTCTTCTTGACGTTTGAAAACCGTCGAAGCTTCGCTTACAATTAATCACAAGAAGGTGAAAATTTGATTTTGCCTCACAAGATGCTGAACAAGGCAGAAGTAAAATGTTATTAAAAGCATGTCTGTTGCATAATAAAGATAATTTTATTCTCATAAGAATTACATAAATCTGCCAATAAAATTTAATAATTTTATAATATATCCGCTTCGGTTTTGTTATTAAGCCTAGTCCGAATTCATCTTAGTATTTTCTCCTTGTTGTTTGCACAACACCGAGATTTTCATAACAAACTAATTAAATTATAAGAAATATTATATATCTATGCATTAGGATAGAACGAGAAAACCAAAATTTCATTTTCAAAACGCTTTAGTTCCGAAAAAATGCTATATAAAGAAAAAAGCAAATTGAAAATTATGAAATCGGTTGATATCTTTCAGTCATGATCAAAATTTATAAAAATTGATAAAACTGTACATTTTACTTAATTTTTACATTTTACTTAATTGTATAACCAGCATGATATTGTTTCTTATGCTAACTTCATAGTTTAAAAAATTTATATAAATTATAATATCATTTAATCCGAGCATAACGACCATGCGATAAATTTAAAAACATGAATTATCTCTTTTTTTTCAAATCTATAACTTTAAAAATATTCAATAAAATTTAACAAACTTTTGGATCAAATTAAAATTGATCAGAAAATTATTGCTTTAAAGTTTGAAAAAAATTCGTTAAGAACTGAGCAAGATATGAGTAATTCAAGTAGTTCTTTTAATACTGTTCACTCACGGAAAAAATTAATTTTTCATTTTTTTCTTAAATTTGTAGTGAATTGCATTTAGCAACTAATAAAAAAAAGTCCGATTTGAATATTTAAGAAAATTTAAATATTTCAAGCCATTTTCCAGGTAGTTTTTCTACTGATAAAAATGGATCCAAAAGAGCGGATATGACAACGAACGCAGTGAAAGCTGTTAGAGAATGGATTAGGTGCTATTCACGAGAATCTGTTCGATTCATTTAAATATATATATACATGAACGGTAAATAGAATACTCAAAGAATATTTGCAGCTGAAACCATGCAAAAAACAACGAATTCATGCAGCGCTGAAAATCAAGCTAGAGATACAAAGAGGAAAATGCTACTACGTCGGTAAGCGGATCGTGACATTCTCTTTTCGGATAAGAAACTTTTTTTTTATTCCACTAGACAGTCACAACCTGCAAAACTATCGAGTACAAGTAGTATGTCTTGCTGACATTCTATAGATAAGTTGGCAGTATAAAAATGTTAAAATGCGCCGAAAATGATGGTGTTGGGTCCGATTTCTGAGAAAGGAAAGCTCTTACTTATTTTCCTTGATTCAAGAGTTAAAATCAACGTTGGTATCTAATTAGAATAAGTCTTTGAATGATTTTGCTTTAGATTTATTTGGAGAGCAATCATATTGCTTTCAACAAGACTCAGCGCCCACTCACAAATCAAAAGAAAGTCTAAACATGGCGCAGATTAAATTTTTCCGATTTCATTTGTGCGGATATACTTGATTATTTTATGGGGGTATATGCTCTCAAAGATTGAAATTACGAAAGGACTAACTATAGAAAAAATCCATGAACGATTGATAAAGATTTGGGATTCAGAGGAAGCAGTGCATGCTAGCTATAATGAGTTTTCTAATCCTTTGCGTAAAGTTATAAATAAACATGGGAAAGATTTGAGATTTCATGTAATAAATGAGTCGATCATAGAGATGAATATTTTTTTTTAATTACGTTCATTTCTTATTTCTTAGCCTTGACTTAGGGATTCTTGTATACTCTGTAGTAGGTAATTCTAAATGATTAAAAAAAATTATAACCAAAATTGTTTTCTGAACTTTTTTTAAGTTCTTGTTTACTGGACAAAGCGACCACCTTGTGCTCTATGTGCCAATTAATTTGCAGTTAGGTGACTCTAAGTGACAATTAAATAGTAACTTAGAATCGTTGTCTGACTCTCTTAATTCTTCTTTTAATCTTATTCAAAAATTTTAACTTGCAGCCTTATTCTAGCCCACAGTAACCCTATTTGTTATCGAGATCTATAGACAAAATTTTTAAATATTTCAAGAATTTTGTTTTTCAGTGTTTAATTTTTAAAAAAAATTAAACTCTGTTAAAATTAAAAAATTACATAAAAATTTTAAAAAAATTAAAAATATTTGAGAAGACGACAGAAAAAATTAACACAGACAACAGAAAACGAAAGCAAATATTCAATTCATTACTAAAATTATGAATAATCATATTAATATTACTGCAAGTTATATTATTATGTTATTTTTATGAAATATATTATTAAATAAATGAATATTAATAATAAATATATTGTCCTTCTTTATAATGAAACACAAAATCAGCATCTAACAAATTATTGGAAATTTATCTTACAAAAGAGATTTATTTCTTTTGATTTCTCTGTACCATACAACCATAAGGTGATCCAACCAAGCTGAATACAGCTTCTTTAGACTGGTTCCTTCTCCACTTTCATAGACATCTGCAAGAATCCTCCTTGAATACTGTCAGATGCAATACTAAACAATTTCATTGCACACATTATTAGTTCATGTATTATCGGCACTGGCTGTTTCATTAAACGTAATCTCTTCCACTGCTATTATGATGTCAGAACAAACATTACCCGCATTAGTTTCATCTTCACAATCATGATTATTGCATTCATCATTGATCGACACATAACCAAATAATGGCATAAATTTACCACCCAAAGTGCAATATTCTTGTATATCATGATATATATCAACAAACAAAAACACATGGAGGTTTCAGTTTGAAAATAAGTTATGTTCCTTATGCTCGGAATCTGAATATCAACCTACCTAATAGATAATAATACCGTAAATATGTATCCCAAATCAAATTTCACAAAGTTCAGAAGAAACAGCAAATAAAGCAAAAACATTATTGATGGACATGTATCAGTAATGGCAGAAACTTCTCGAGTCGAAACTATTATGTGGCTATTCTTAAATGTCTCCTGTATTGGAATATAACTAGACTATAGGGAAAATATGAAATTTATATACTAGAAAATAACCAACCGGTATATCTTTCGTCTCTAAGATGACATCGGGAACATGACGTGGTGTGAGATCATCAGCAATCCTTTTCCGTATCCTTTTAACGAGATCTTGATTAAACATGTACCCATCCCTCAGTTTAAGAAAGAGAACAGCTCTCTCATCTCTACTACTATTGAACTGAGAAACACATAAACAGTCACTGATTTCAGGAAAGTGATCAACTAAAATAAAAATATGTTTATCTATTAAACATTTATTTAAATTTGCTCTCAAAATAGCTCGCTTCACCAAAGATTTAAATTAGTTAATAGTAAACAATTAGATTGTTTTATTGCTAGTTTAATTTGTTGTTTATGGAAGTGCAGTTTTTTAAATTTGTGGTCTTAAACTAAGCATTGTTTGTTGTTTTTTATCATTTAATTTAAATCTACAAATCTTTTCCTAAAAGTAGTAATTTTTAACCCATTATACTTTGTAAAAAATTTTCTTAGAGAATTCTTTGCGAAGAATTATTTTAGAATTTCAACTAATTTAAAGTTCCAAAATAAGTATTCTTCAATAAAAGCGGTTATCAAATTAAAATCAAATTTAGTTGTTTAAGAAATGAAATCAAATCTGCATTGCAAAACAGGAAACTTCAGGCTGATCTGACAGCCACCAAAAAATACGATAAATTGTCTGACTTTATCTAAACTTGTTTTCGGAGGTTTCAAAAGAAAGAATCCATTGATCTGCGAGGAAGAGGTTCTTCAGTCCTGACTGGGATCGAACCAGGGACTTTTGAGTTCGTTGCCGAATGCTCTAACCATTTTGGATCCAGAACCTACAATCCAGATAAGTTAGGAAGTTTTATATAGTTATCGCCGCGAGCTCTCCATTAAAAGAAGATAAAAGTCTGATCCGTTGCCAACAGAGAGCGTTTCACATGATTCAGTGAAAGTGTGATGGTGAATGAAATCAGAATTTCTGTGCAGTTCAGCACTTAAAGTTGATTGGGAAAAAGTGTTTCTTTTGTCACGTCAATGCGAGCCTCAGAACGAGGTGAAATAGTATAGTGCTGCCATCTATCAAGGAGTGAGAGAGTTACGTATTCGTATTGTCAGTGATCAGCAATGCCGAAGAGAGCAGGAAAGATGCTCGTTGGTGCCCCAAAATAATAGTTAAGCGAAGATAAAACAAAAACACTGCCGAAATCCGTTGTATCACAATTAAGAAAAGCGAGCTGGAAAACATCAAAACCAGTTTGATTGCCTTCGAAGATTTAAAATTGCGTGAAATAATAGCCTTTCAGCTACTCTCAGTTTCCTCAGGGAATAAAACCGGTTTTCTATTTAGCTCTTGCTTCCTTAGTATTGATTCATTAGACATTCATTAAATTCGTTTTCGTTTTTCTTGGATCAAACATCAAGTAACGACCCTTAATAAGCCGATTTATTTTTGACAAGGAATCTAAAAAGTATCGATATTCAGGGTTGCAAATACGTGTCACCCTGTATACGCAACATTCTTTTGAGGTGCTACTTACCAACGTTGTATATTTCAGAGCTACCAAACCGGCATCCACGTTGTTTTAATGTAGCATCACTGAAAAAAAATGAATAAAGCAACATTTAACCCTTTATAATTCATAAAATTTATACACAGATAAATTTAAGCAATTTATACACATACCGGTCAGAATAGGATGAATTGGAGCAGGAGTTTTAAACCTTTTGAAAAGAAATTTGTCCCTGAATCGATAAAATATCGAAAAAAGTCGATCACGAATTCTGCTATAGTAAGATGAATTGTATCTTTAACAAATTGTCAATTCTGAAGTGAAGCATTTAAAGGGGTGAAATTTATCTGTTCGCAGACAAAAGAGAAGTATCGAAGGTATCTAAACAAGTTCCTTTAGATAATGAAAAAGAGGTAGAAATATGATTAGTGGATCGAGCAAGAGCCTAAAAATAGTAAATGAGCTACCTAAAAGAAACGGTTTTCTTTTCAAGACGAAGAAAACCGCCCTGACACATTGGAAGGAGTAATAAGTGAATGCTTTGATTGCTTGGAATTGGACTTTCTTAATTGTCGTATGTCCAAAACTAAGTTTTCAGATGAATGCTTCATTTCACGATTAAGTTTATGAAAAGGATTTTGATAAACTATTGAATTTGTGTGGCCTGAAGGTTGTCTTATTTCTGTGTTTACGGGTTGATTGAGGGAAAAATCATCAGATTTATCAAAATGCGCGAAAATAATAATCATGTTCAAAACATTGTCCTGAAAAATACCACTTACAAATAAATAAGTGATTTTCTCTTTTCCTTCATAAGTTCGTGACCTAACTGCCAAAAAAACACAAACTGTACAGCGCCTTAACTTATGCGGATTATGATGTTGTTCGCTTAACCGATACTTGGCACTGTGAATAAGAACTTAAATTACTTGATGCCAAGTATGTTGGGTTCAGAAAGGATCATTGATTCCAGTAAGAGATTCAATACAGCGATTACAAACTTGGAAAAAATAAGCAAATTAAAGGATTCAAAATTGCTATAGGAACCATGAACTGGAAATGTCGTCATCGTACGCCGCAAGGGGCACTTTCCTATTCTGAACTTCTGATTCGTGTGCCTTTGCTTTGGTACTTTTATTTATCTAAATAATCTTAATTTTGTGTTAGGTTTATATTTTATAATCATTATTTGAAATTGGCATTCAAATAGGTAAAGATATAGCTGTTTTGTCGCAATTTAATAAATTGGGAAGCCACTTAGCGAATTTGTCATGGCGCTTAATATAATACAACATAATATTTATTACAAAAACTTTAACCACGAATTTTTCCGTAGTATTAATAACTTGGAAATAAAAAGCTTTGAAAAAAAAGAAGCTTTAATTATCCAAAAAAAATGATGGTTTTTAACTAAAAGTACTTTATTAACAAAATAAACTTCAAAACTTGTATTCTCTTTGTCCCAGATTAGTTGCTACATCTAAATACTTTTTAACTGATGATTTTATGATTTTGTTTGAAAATTTTTCAGAGATTTCAGATTGCTATGCTATTCAACAACATTTACTTACCAAGCATTCCCACATTAAATCAATGCCAAATTAGTTTCAAAAATACAATGGTCGTACTCTCTAAAGCCACATTTGAGGATTATTCCACCAATAATCACATTAATCTATCTTCTAGCTAATGAACCAATAATCCATCAATAATATAACTTTACTGGTGTCGATCTGCATCGGAAGTTATTTATGACTTCATGTACCTGTAGCTACTAATTTTGGACGACAGGAATATTAAACAACAGAAAACTCTTGCAGACAACGGAAGTAAAATAATTTTAAAATTCTACAGAGTTATTGAAAGCAATTCCCTATCGATAGATATATCGATATTAATTGGCGACTTAGGGGCTGAGATAGCCAGGTTGGCAGGGTGCTGGACTCACGTTAGCGAGAACGGGTATAGTAAATAGGTGACTAATACCCGTTAAATTTGTCGCATCACAAAGTCATCCATGTTCCCATAACAAATTATACCTCTGGGGTTACTGAATTGGAGACAAATCGTTCAGGTCAAAATTACGATCTGTAGATAAATGAATGGATATAAGAAGGAGTCCGGTTGTGAATGAATCCCATTAAAGGGTGTGACGTATGGGTGTGGCAGAAATCGAATTCTTGGCCATAGATGGCGCCACTGGAAAACAAAAACAATCGCTCCCCTTGCTTCAATGACCAACGACAACAACAACAATTGGTGACTCGTAACGTATATACTTTTCTACTTCATTTATAATAAGGATTCTAAAAACAAATATTTAGTGCGTTCATGATAATGATACTCTAGTATTCATTATATCTAAGGCAAAGATTTTGTTTGGGAGCATGAAATGTTTTATAAGGTTTCGATTAATCATTATTTTGACCAATGACACTAAATTCGAAGTAGCAGACTCCTGAATAATATCACAGTAGTTATATCAAGATATTTCAGCTTATACCTTTACTGAAATTGACATAGTATATATGAACTTCAAGACTTTTTAGAGCAGTTACTTATTCTTTTGAATTTTTGGATTTTTAAATAAATTGAAAATTGTAATATCCAAAACAATTAAATAATTGCGTTTTGAGAACGACTTCTAAATTTTCATTATTTAAACATACATTAAAGTTCAAATAAATCAAGTCCAACTCTAAATAAATATACAGAAGTGGAAATTATAAGAAGAAATTATAAGAAATTATAAGAAGAAATTATAAATTGCAAAAGACTACAGTTGAATTCCATGCCAATTGAAACCAGTAGTGAATTTTTTACGTTTAAGCAATATCCTTGCATTTGGTATCATTTTAAAGGAAATTTGTTGAAATTTATAAATTCAAAAGTTATTTTTTGGAGTTGAGCATGATTATACTAAAAGTTACCATGTATAGACAGCATTCATGATTTTGACCAAAAAAAACTACCAAAAAACTTTTCTACCAAAAAAACTGTCTATTTTAAACAAGAATAAGTTATTAAAAATATTTATTCTATATTAAAAATATAAGATTTTACGAATAGTTTAATTTATATTGTAAAATAAATTGTTCCTGATTCGAATTATGCAGGGGATACCGTCAAAAAAAATTTTTTTTCTTATTTTTTGAGTCAAAAATCATTTCAAATATATACTGTCCCCTCAGTTATAATTATTCTTTTAAGTTAATTTTATTCATTACACAAAAACCTTCTTAACTTAATATTTGGTTTTCACAATAAAGTCTATTAGTACAATCATGTGATGTTATATTTTTGAGAAAAAAAAATTAAAAATTTTAAAGTTTCTCTTATAACAGAGAGGAGAAAACTAAATGTCCCCTCAGTTACACAAAATTGATAAGTTGACCATTAAAAAGGAACTGTTAGAATGTAAACAAGAGCTAATGCATCTTGATTCAATTAGTTTAAATCAATTCCTCCACTGTTAGAGTACACTTTTTATAAAAAGCTGTGCCATTTTTATTTAATAGTGTGTTTAGTTTATATTTGAAAGTTTTTTAAGTGAGTAATCAATATGGAGAAAACAACAGCAGAAAGAATGAGGAAATATAGAACTAGAATGTTCCAACAAAAAAAAAGATATTTGTAAGGAGAAAGATAAAGAATATAAAATGAAAATTTATGATGGCAGAAGTATTTTGAAAAAGAGAAAAAACCTTAACAGAGAAATAAATAAATTGGAAAAAAAGAAGACAAAGGAAAAATAAAAAGGCACTGATACAAGCAGTAGAACTTCAGGAAGGATATTCTCTTTATAATATTCCTTAGGCATTGGGAAAAGCTATTAAAAAAACAAACAGTGCATCACCTGCATCTTCAAAAAAACGTTGCACTATTCTATGCATACTCTGTAACCTTATTACCAAAACAAAAGAAATAGCCTAGTAACAAAGTTTCTGATGAAACAAAAAAACACTTGTAATAAATTTCTACTCATCTGATAAACTTTCTTACGAGACTTCTGGTAGATCTGAGTGCATGATTGTCAAAGAAAATGGACAGAAAGNTGGCCATAGATGGCGCCACGGGAAAACAAAAACAATCGCTCCCCTTGCTTCAATGACCAACGACAACAACAACAATTGGTGACTCTTAACGTATATACTTTTCTACTTCATTTATAATAAGGATTCTAAAAACAAATATTTAGTGCGTTCATGATAATGATACTCTCGTATTCATTATATCTAAAGCAAAGATTTTGTTTGGGAGCATGAAATGTTTTATAAGGTTTTGATTAATCATTATTTTGACCAATGACACTAAATTCTAAGTAGCAGACTCCTAAATAATATCACAGTAGTTATATCAAGATATTTCAGTTTATATCTTTACTGAAATTGACATAGTATATATGAACTTCAAGACTTTTTAGCAAGGATTTTTCAAGACAAGGGTTTTTAAATAAATTGAAAATTGTAATAGCCATAACAATTAAAGAATTGCGTTTTGAGAACGACTTTTAAATTTTCATTATTTAAAAATAAATTAAAGTCCAAAGAAATCAAGTCCAACTCTAAATAAATGTACAAAAGTGGAAATCACGTTTGGAAGAAATTATAAATTGCAAAAGACTAAAGCTGAATTCCGTGCCAATTGAAACCAGTAGTGAATTTTTAAAGTTTAGGCAATATCCTTGCATTTGGTATCATTTTAAAGGAAATTTGTTGAAATTTATGAATTCAAAAGTTATTTTTTGGAGTTACGCATGATTATAGTAAAATTTATCATAAATTGAGAGCATTCATGATTTTGACTTATTCTACCAAAAAAACTGTCTATTTTAAACAAGAGTAAGTTATTAAAAATATTTATTCTATATTAAAAATATAAGATTTTACAAACAGTTTAATTTATATTGTAAAATAAATTGTTCCTGGTTCTAATTATGCAGAGGATACCGTCAAAAAAAAATTTTATCTTATTTTTCAAGTCAAAAATCATTTCAAATATAAACTGTCCTCTCTGTTATAATTATTCTTTTAAGTTTATTTTATTTATTACACAAAAAACCTTTTAACTTAATATTTGGTTTACACAATTAAATCTATTAGTACAATCATGTGATGTTATATTTTTGAGAAAAAAAAATTTTAAATTTTGAAGTTTCTCATATAACAGAGGGGGTGTAACAGAGAGGAGAAAACTAAATGTTCCCTCAGTTACACAAAATTGATAGGTTGACCATTAAAAAGGAACTCTTAGAATGTAAACAAGTGCTAATGCATCTTGATTCAATTAATTTAAATCAATTCCTCCACTGTTAGAGCACGCTTTTTATACAAAGCTGTGCCATTTTTATTTAATAGTGCGTTTAGTTAATATTTGAAAGTTTCTTAAGTGAGTAATCAATATGGGGAAAACAACAGCAGAAAGAATGAGAGAATATAGAACTAGAGTGTTCCAAAAAAAAAAGATATTTGTAAGGAGAAAGATAAAGAATATTAAATGAAAATTTATGAAGGCAGAAGTATTTTGAAAAAGAGAAAAGACCTTAACAGAGAAATAAATAAATTGGAAAAAAATAATATCAAAGGAAAAATAAAAAGGCACTGATACAAGCAGTAGAAATTCAGGAAGGATATTCTCCTTATAATATTCCTTAGGCATTGGGGAAAGCTATTAAAAAAAAAAACAGTGCATCACCTGCATCTTCAAGAAAACGTTGCACTATTCTATGTATACTCTGTAACCTTACTACCAAAACAAAAGAAATAGCTTAGTAACAAAGTTTCTGATGAAACAAAAAAACACTTGTTATAAATTTCTACTCATCTAATAAACTTTCTTACCAGACTTCTGGTAGATCTGAGTGCATGATTGTCAAAGAAAATGGACAAAAAATCCACAAAGTCAAATGTGCACCTTGATGGAAGCATATCAAATATCAAAGCAGATGCATCCAAACATAAGAATTGGCAAATCTAAGTTTTACTGTACTACGACCTATCCATATTTTATGCGTAGGTAAAATACCATATAAAATGTGTATGTGCTATTGACGAAAATGTGAATTTTCTATTAAAATCACAGTTGTTTGCCTAATAATTGCATAGAATTACTAAATATAGTGACTTGCGAAAATCGCTCAATTGACTTTTTATTTTACAACCGTTGTTGAACAGCCGACCCAAATTTGAGTTTACGGCTACCAATGTTCAACTCCGTAGCCTTCCAATTTTGAACTCAATCCAAAAGATAAGGGAACTCCTCGATCAGTACCCCCAGAGGTATTGATTTGTTTTGGAACTTGGAGGACTTTGGGACCTGACATATTTAATGTACAGCAGTCACCATTTAAAACACTGAGATTCTTTTGATGTTGCTATAGATAATTTTGCAAGTGTGAAAAGTTCTAGGAAAAAATTCTGTAGTTAATTGTGTTGCCCAAATAACTGAAATTGAGAGAGAAACAAACAATGCACTTGTTTTTTTTTAAACAGGGTGGGTGAAATAAAAACTTTCAAATGTAACTACAAAGATATAGCACGGGTTTCAATTATAGCAGTGTTGCCAACTCCAACTTTAAATAACCGAAAAGTCACTTTTAACAGTGATATTTCTCTTTAACTTTTTGTTAAATTTGTAAGACATCCCCTCTGTTACATTCCATGTCCTCTCTGTTACGATGCATTATTTGGACTTATAAAAAGGGGGTTGGAATTTTAAAAGTCTTACAATAATTTATTTTACCTTGAAATGTGATAATTTAAAAAAAATTACAGATAATGTTAAGGAGGGTCCAAATCACAGAATTTAACATAAATAGCAGTGCATGTCAAAAATGTGAAATTTTATTTGTCCCCTCTGTTACAAGTACTTTTAATTAACTTGCTATTTAATTATGAGGATCTTTCATTATTTTATGCAGTTTAATTAAACATTGCATTCTAAAGTAGCATATTCTAGTAGAATTTTTGCTTTCAAAAATATTTAATATATTTTTTAGAATGAAATACTTGTGTGATTTCCCCTCTGTTACGCTTGGAATGATAAGAAAAATCGGACAATAACATTTAGAAGCTGTTATTACAAATCACATAGTAAAAAATGATGAATTTAGGTGCAATATTTGATTATCTCAAAATTTCCAATATTCATATAAATCTTTACTTTGTAGTAGCATTGCCATTTGGCTGGTATCATACATATTCATGAAAGATAATTAGGGTATTGACTTACTAATTTATGTTTTGAAATCAACTTACCTTCTACCTAACACCAAGAGACCTTTTGTAACTGGATTAATTATTCCGTTATCTCCAATACAAAATTTTCCTGGGGAAAAAAATAGAGGAATAAAACATAATTTAATAACTTTCTTTAATTCCCAGAACAGCATCAGGAAACTTCTTTTTAATTCTACGCATTACAAATGTTTTTATTTATTAAATCATAAAATCAATACAGTTTTTCAGAAATATAAACTTTTAATAAGTATCAATGTAGTTTTTTTTGGAAAGATTTATTTTGAAGTGATCAATAATGTTTAACTCAAATTGAAGGGATTAAGTACTTAAATTCAAAAACTGCTAAATGATAAAAAGAGAATGTTACAAAAAGAAATTTTAAATTTTAAGATTAGTCCACACAGAAATAATTAAGAAGGAAAATTTATTGAGGATTTAATAACGAAAATAATTTTCAGACGCTTTGAAAAGTTAAGAGTAACTAAATTTTTTCATTGTTCTGCACTCTTTGCTTAGAAGAATTTTGTTTTGTTTTGTTCATGCTTTCAAGTTATTTCATTCTTCAGTTACTGTAGTAACGTTATTCTTTCCTTGCCTCCTCTTTTAGTTATTAAATTTCAAAAAATTCATACTTTTTAATTTGTATTTTTCAAGAACTATTCGACCGATTTTGTTTAAGTATTCAACATAATTTAAGTAACATGGCATAGTTTAAAATGATGTAAAATTTTTATATTCTACAATTCAAAATCTTTTATATTATTATTCAATAATTTAATAAAAAAAGTAATGAAGAATTATTAAAAATTAATTTTGCATGGAATCATCTTTGAATAAGCGAATTTGATAGTCATGTCCAAAATTTTTCAATTTTCTTAAATAATTTCCAGCTGTGGCAAAATATGTGGAAAGATAATTAATATTAAAGGACCTAAACTTTCCACCGCTCAACTAGATTGGGGCTATATTGTAACAAATTGCAGCTATTTTTGGATAGTCAAAATTCTAAATAGCGTTCTGTGTTTAGTTTTGTAACTTGATTAATAGCTAGAACTAATTAATTAGTATATATGAGGCTAACCCTATGAACAATTAAGATTGGTTTTGATTAATGCCTCTGGGGGTACTGAATTAGAGTTTGATCGTTCTCTGGTTCAGGTTAAAAGTTCGATCTTTGGATGAGTGGGTCCGCCCTATAAACAGACTATGACGAGTGTGGGACAGAAGTCGTATTCTTGGTCATAGATGGCTCTACTGAAAAACAAGAAACGCACCTTCTGCTTTAATTTCGCTTGGTTCCACCAAGCAGGCTTGTTAGTACTGGCAAGTAGCATTAGAAACAACAACAGCAACAGATTGATTTTTTAATGCATTAAAATTTGATCAAGAAAACAAAAAAAAATTAAGAGTATTAATGGAGTTATTTGACAAAAATAATTAAGAGTGTTATGTGACATTTAATTAAAAAAAAACTATATGATTGATTACCTGGATATTTGGTGAAATATGTTTCTCGAAACTTCGAACCATCTTCATCTCCCCACAAACCTGAAATCAAGAGGGGACTGGGCTTGCTTATAACTAGATCCCCAACTTCACCAAATATAACTTCTCCTACGAAATACAATTTCAAGTATTAGAAATAATTTCTGACATTCAAAAACTTTTTATGTGTAAATCCTCATAATACTTTTTACTATACCGATTCCTTTGAACACTTGTCATATAAAATTTATTGATTTAAAATAATGAAAACATTTGTCTCTCTTACAATTCAAAAGTATTGGGACCATTGTTAAATTAAGCAGAAATAAGTAAAAACAAAAATAAATTTCACAGAATTATTTTTGGATAAAGAATTTGTATAACTGCGTTCAAAAATTGTAAGCCTCTTAAATCAGTAATAAATCTAATATTTTTTCATGAAATTAATTAAATTTTTTGTTCTATTTTACTATTATTTTATTAAAATTCGAGAAGTGTTTTTTTTTTTTTTTTTTGCATTCAGAAATCAATTATGGTAATGCAAAATGAGTTGTTTATCAATCAAAACTTTCTAAAAAATGTGTAATAATTGTTTCCCGTTTTATACAGGATCGTTCAGCACAGCCAACTTCAAAGGGATGGCAGGACAAATCATAAGGATTGAAAATCCTTTAGCAGCACTTGGTATGAAATATCATCGTGAGCCATTAGAAGTGCCTCTCTTCAATAAAATCTAGCTGTTCATGCAAACAAGAGTCAATACTTTTACTTATCTAAACCATTCCCATTTTATGACTTCTAATAACTTATTTCAAAAATTGCATTCAAATAAGTTCAAAAGTAGCTGTTCATCATAATTTTCAGATTTGGCTAATAAATCGGCAAGATCAGCAGATTAGTCGCAAATTCAACGAACTACGATAAAACAACTAAATAAGGGCTTAATTAAATGCAGACTTAAAATAATAAATAAGACTTAAATAAAAATTAAAATAAAATAAAATCGAGATCATTTAGATTAATCAAAGTGTCAGTTCAAATAGGTTCGAAGAGTCAGTTCTTAATTGGAAGCATCCCTAACGGTGTACAATGCCATTTCTGGGCATTGAAAGAGCCCAATCTCTTTTCTTAAATTGTAACCGCAGTATAGATTCCCCTCATAAGCTTATTTTTTAACCTCTGATAATAAATCTCAGTTAAATTATCATAATTCGAAGTAGAAAAAAATTGTTTTATCAAGAAAGGAAAGTGGTACCAGTTATTTCATCACAACATTCGATTAATGTACATAAGGCTGAAGTAGGTAATTCTCCTGAGTAGATAGGAATATTGAAATCGAAAGTAGAGCACAACATCACCTCAGTACTACCTAGAATTAAAACATGCATTTAACAATCATCTTTTATAAGAAAAAGAATTTTTATTTATTTATTAATTTAATTTAATTTAATTTAATTTAATTTAATTTAATTTAATTTAATTTAATTATTTATTTATTTATTTATTTATTTATTTATTCTTATGAATAGAATGTAGTCATCTGATTAGAGTTGCATAAGATGGGAAAAAACCGATTGAATGAACGAGATATTTTAGGAAGGAAATTTTAAAAGTTCTTGTTTCCTTTTAAATTTCCTGCAGCTTAAATTGATTTTTAATTAACACAATTGGCATTGATTTGAATACCCATTCAAACCAGTCATCCCTCCTTTATCTTAGTAGAAATTTATAAAAAAAAATGATGAAATTCTCTTTTTAATTATCATAACTTACTTTCAGTTACTTTTAGAAAAGAGATTTAATAATTTCAAAATAAATATTTCAGTGTTTTTTTTTTAAATATATTTATAAAATTAAACGCACATAAAATTGACCTCTAATAAAATTTTGCATGATTATTTAAATAATTTTTAGAAAAAAAAAGTTGAAAGCTGTTGCAATTAAACTAATATATATCAAGAAGTTAAAATGCTATTCTTTTTATACTTCAGCTGTTTTATTGCGTACAATAATTTCTTAATTCCTATTAGTAATAAGCCAGTTTTGCTAACCTTAAAAACTCTCATTATATCCCTTTGTTTAATTTTTTAAAGCGAATTTAGTGAATATTTTAGTAAACACAACTGAAGAGCAGTTTAATGACAAATATATTTTGATAAGTATATTTTTCGTTAGTTTTTTATCCAAATTGGTACTTAAACATTTTCAGGAANTTTAAATATTTATTTATTTATTTATTTATTCTTATGAATAGAATGTAGCCATCTGCATCGAATTGTATAAGATGGGAAAAAACCGGTTGATTGAACGGGATATTTTAGGAAGGAAATTTTAAAAGTTCCTGTTTCCCTTTAAATTTCCTGCAGCTTAAATTGCCTTTTAATTAACGCAATTGGCATTGATTTGAATACCCATTCAAACCAGTCATCTCTCCTTTATCATAGCGGAAATTTATTTAAAAAAAATAATGAAATTCTCTTTTTAATACTCATAACTTACTTTCAGCTAATTTTAGAAAAGAGATTTAATAATTTCAAAACAAATATTTCGGTGATTTGTTTTAAATATATTTATAAAATTAAATGCACTTAAAATTGACTTTTAATAAAATTTTGCGTGATTATTTAAATAATTTTTAGAAGAAAAAAATAAGTTGAAAACTATTGCAATTAAACTAATATATATCAAGAAGTTAAAATGCTATTCTTTTTATACTGCAGCTGTTTTATTTCATACAATAATTTCTTAATTCACATTGGTAATAAGCCAGTTTTGTTAACCTTAAAAATTCTCATTATATCCCTTTGTTTAATTTTTTAAAGCGAATTCAGTGAATATTTTAGTAAGCACAACTGAAGAGCAGTTTAATGACAAATATATTTTGATAAGTATATTTTTCGTTAGTTTTTTATCCAAATTGGTACTTAAAAATTTTCAGGAATTCCCAATAAATGGCACCCTATTGCCAACTCGATTCATTATTTTATATATATGTCTACCTACTTTACATTAACCACATAATATTCTATTGCATGCGTCTACTAGATTACATAGTATTTATGTTTTTCATTAAAAACTCTTTTGGAAAATTTTCTCCTGAACAATGTGGCTTACCATTATACCACCCTTCAATTCAAAAAAATTTTTCAAAGAATCTTCCCATAGTTTGAGATTGAAGGCCTTTTTGGTACTTTAAATCAATCAAGTTTTTAACAAGGATCTCTTTAAAATATTTTTTAAGTTGATTTCAGGACATTTACAAAAAAAAAAAAAAATCTGACTTGATTGTTATAAGTTAAAAATCTGACTTTACTGTAAAGTTAATAAAGGTATCTTCAGTGTTTGAAGTATACAATATTCGACTATTAATTTCCAAGTCTGACCTAATAACTCTTGAAAACCTCCTTATTTGCTATAACGTATTTCAGCCGTAAATGCAAAATTTCAGAAACAATTTTATAAGTCTTTGTTCAGAATACTTATTAGTTCTGACGTTGGGGTCTTCTTAAGAGGATACTATATCACGAGAGAACATTTCATAGCAAATTCGAAGAAATTCGAGACAAATCTTTTACAATATTCTTCAGAAAAATCTTTTGAAAACTTTTTTATTCGGAAATATTTGCTAAAGAAACAAGGATTAAAGATGACATTAAGAACATCAAAATTGAAGAGTATTCTGAAAGGGGACTGTGAAAGAGGACCAATGTAGAGATCTTCCCTTCAGACAAATCTCGCTGATTTGGAAACATTTTCTAAAGGTACAAGGTTTTAGGATGTCGAAGGACAGCAGAACATTCCGAAAAAAGGGCTTTAAAGTGAAGAGCAATATGAGAACCAATAAGAAGATTAATCATTCGCTATATTCTTCAGACAAATATCTAGCAAACTTTTTAATTCGGAAACATTTGCGAAAGGATTTAAGGATATAGAAGACATTAAAAACATCAGAATTGAAAGGAAGAGAGAAAATAAATTGCTTTTGAGTCAGCCGAGCAAAGAAGTACATTATATCAGTTGGAGGTGACTTCATAACAGCTTAAATAGGTATTTATTTCACATAATAGTTTCAGTATTTATTATCTTGGAGATTTAAATTAATAACTGCACCTTGAACATTACTGCCTGGATTTTTTCTTGGTTTCGACTCATGACCTAAAGATTTAATACAAAGTTAGTTCTCCTAATATCCCAATTCCTCTACAAAATAGTGATAAATTCGCAATGCATAAATTACTTTACGCATGCGTATTATGCACACGTATTATGTAAATACATAATACGTATTATGCGTATTTGAACATACTTACAAATGATAAGCAAAAGTTTTTACAAATCTTTTAAGATGTTAATCCGTGAGCAAGAAATTCTTAAATACTGTGGAGGAGAGGATTTTTTTTTCAGATCCTGAAAAAGTTTTAATTTCTTGGAAGTGAGAGTTTCAGAAATAAGTTTTGAGATATTTTGTAAAGAAAGTGGCACTGATTAATGAAATCGCCTAAAAATTTATAATTGAATGAAACCTCAGTCAACAGATCCTAAAAGAGAGAAGGCCTACACCATAAACGAGAAATCCATTTCTTTAGTATTTCGAATGTTGTGAACAACTTTATTATTTTTCATCCACTGTAGCTCGAATAATCTGACAGTTTTCTCTTTAGCTTCCCACTGCGCAGTTTTAGTTCATTCCTCCAGGCAGTGCAAAGGCCTTCTCTCTTCTATAAAGAGTTGACTTATCTTTGCTTCATAATGATTATTCGTAGTGCAGTGATGGAACCCCTAAAAGATAAAACTGTAGTAAAAATTTGATTCATTATTATTCAACTTTTCAATTTCCGTAGCTTCCATAAGTTAACGCCATCAATTATACACGTTTAAAACGGAAATCATCTAATAATTTATTTTAAAAATAATAAGAGGAAAGAATATTTTGCTAACTTTAAACAATTTCGATTAATATTTTATTTTTGATCACTATCTCTTGCATTTTAGGTGTACTTTTTATCACTATTAATGTTTAAATAAAAGTAAACTAAATTCCAAATACATTTGTTTTAGTGTTAAAATTTCGGGTTCAATCTTTAACACTAAAAAGACGCATTTTGTGTGCGATCGCTTTCTTAACCACGCATTTTCAATAGAGACAAAATCTGAAAATCTGAAATCTCAAAAATTAAAACAAAATTTATTATTTTCAAGATGAAATCCTTAAATAAAATAAAAATTCAAAATTATCACCGTATGCAGCTGAGAATGCAGACTTCAACTTCAATTCTTTATAGAAAAAGTCAAATGAAGATTTCTTTACAACACTTCCTCCAGTTTTTATAAGTCTCAAGGAATTTAAATTGTTCTTTGAAGCTAAAAGAAAATTTCCTTTGATATATAACACTTGTTGCCAAACACTAATTTTAAAAACCATGCAACATTTAAAATTATGGATGGTAACCGTATAGAGCCAGCACCTCCTAAAAGAGAGAAGTCCTCTGCACGGTTCAATTTAGTAGTCCAACGTAACGAACATAAACTGCGTAGAGGAGAATTAAGAAAGATGTCACTACATTCGGTCTAATAAGCTGCGCAGTGGTGGAAAATACGAAAGAGGATATTACATTTGGACTACTAAAGGATCAAATTTCTTGTTTAGAGTAACTCGTGCTGAAGCCTTCTCTCTTCTAGAAAGTATTGATAGAGCATAAGCAAGTGGCGTTTGTGGCTGAAATTATAAAAAGGCTCAGAGAATACTATCTCCGAATAATTTTCACGCCAAAACCTTGAGTTTAAGCCATAAAAATATTCTCTTTGGATCATGGGTTAGAGCTCTCTTGCCATCAGACTAAACATGAAAGGTTTCTGTGGTTTTCCCCCACCGTGTGACGCATATACTAATAATTCTTTACAAATAATTCTTGATATTAATTCATATTATTAACTAATAGAACCTGTTCACACTTCACCTCAAAATTGGAACATTGGAGGAAGAGAGTTACTTCCGGTTTTCGGAAACTTGTTGATTACACTTGATTAATCATCCATGAAGTGTATTAAAAACTATGAAGAGGTTTTGAGGATGAGATGATGATGGTTTTTTTTTTTTTTTTTGGTAATTTGCTAAATTATTCCCCGTTTCTTTTCACTTTTAAAGTGTAAATAATTTTGAGTTTTGTAACGCAAAATTCATTTTACAATTTTGCGTTTAATTCACAGTAAATGCACTTTTTTTTATTTTGAATCGAATCAACAATTTCGTAAAAAAAATCAAAAACACGTCCTTCATAGAATTTTACTCGATTATTTATTGGTTTACTAATATTTTAGTGACTAATTTCAAAAGAAATCAAAATATTTCAAAACAACAAATGATCTATTATCTACTTTTCGTCTTTTTATACGATATATCTTTTCTGTGACCTTTATTTTGGCGAGAAAAATCATAGCTACTCCACTAAACAAAACAAGGTGTGTTGTCACATTACATATTTCATGTTATGTCTTTGTATAAAGATGAAGTTGGCGTAGCTTGTAATGGAACGAATGAATTAAAAATAAAATTTGAATTTTTGACAAAGTTCTAAACTGAAAAGTACGAATTTCGGACAAATCTAGACCTCAAATTGCTTAATAAAGTAAGTTTTGATAAAAATAAAAGAAATTATTTCTTTATATCTTTAAACAATTGTATCTTGATGAAGTGTGCAAAATTTCAATAAGATCGGTGTTTTGATAAATAGTTTCAATAAAAGAGTTTTTAACTTTCCCTCCCGGTCGTTCAAAGGAATTGCTTTGATTGAAATCATATATAATTAGATTTTTTTTCGAAATTTTAAAATCCCTTAACCTAATAAAACGTGAAATGCGTCAGGTTAAAATTTATAACAAATACCAATATTGCATACAATTTGAGGAATTTTTAGATACTATAAAAACTTGACTTCATTAGAGAGTTGAAATCATTTGATTTGCATGTAATTAAGCCATTAATCTTTAAATTGTTAGTTATCGATGTAAAGATTTCGTATAAAAAATGTAGCGAAACTGAGCAAGACATATTTAATTGAGCAAAAGTGTTTTTAAGGAGGGTTAAATGAAATTAATTTTTATTACGAAACCTACTTAAAATAAAGTTACAGATCTTTGAAAATTACAAAGAATAGAGACGATGGTATTAACAATTGTTTTGTAAATGTAACATAATTTTCGATTGAAACTAAAATATATGGTCAATATTCTATGATGTTGTTGATATTCTTAGTTCTAAGGGATCACGGTGCCAGTAAGCAAATTTTAAATATCGACTTATCCTTTTTACTAATATAATACTCCTATTTCCTCGACTTGAGAACAGTCTAAACACAGAATCGAAAAGATCATTAGAACAAAAATTATTTGGGTGTACATTTAAAAGACTTCCCTGTTAACCAAATTTTAAAAAAAATGTTAGAGACTATGTCAGAATCAATTGCGGTGTCATTTTATGTACAATGATTTAAGAAAATCATTTTCTGGATCTAGTTACGAGTAAAGACGTTGGAAAACACTTCTTTGCAAAAGAACTAATCATGGACAGAAGATTGTTGAATCTTTGTGAAAAGAAAAATAGCTAAAGATAAATTTATAATTTATAATGTTTGAAAAATCGTATCACAACATCATTCAAAAAAAGGGACTTAAGTAATCAATTCATCACCACTCCCTGCCAAAATGAAACCAAATAAACTCTTTTCAAATTAAATTTTTTTTCATAGTTTTTAAGCAAGTTCTTTTTTTTTTTTTTTTTTTNTAGGCATCTCATCATATAATTTTTGATAAACGCCATAACACCATACTACATGTTTTGGGAAAGGCTGTATCATTTGGTTTTCAATCACTTTTTTTATGAAATAACTTTTACCACTACCTGTTGGACCTGCGAGGACAGCTGTAAAGGGATGTTTGAACTTCAAAAGATCCATGATGAATGAAAAACTCTCGTCACCTCTATTTATCGTTATCTCTTATCACCACATGAAGAGTTCAATCCTCAGCAATAATTATATTTAAATTAAATAATAAAATAGATTTAAAGTTATTTTATTTCTGACATTCCCTCATAGATGGCGCCACTAGAGTGAAAGCAGGATATCATTTATTTATTATGTAATAATTAACGCGTGTATGGTCAGTACCGTTGCCACCCAGAGAAAGTTATAATAACATTGAGAGGGGCAGAAGTAATTATTTAATAACTGTCAAAGGTTAAGTGAATATCGATGAAACTGTAGAATGATATCGTCATCAAATCCTTTTTATTTATACACGTGCTCAGAATACAAAAGTTAAACTTATTAACACATATCTAACCAAGCATTCGTGGGTCAATGGTTATGATATCCAACTACTGAGCCACGAAGGCTTTTTAATGGCGCGAGTTCGATCCTCAGCCTTAATTATATTTAATAAATAATATTAAAACAGGTTTAAATATTAAAATAGATTTAAAGTCATTTTATTCCCACATAGATGGCGCCACTAGATCAAAAGCATGATATCATTTATGTGTTATGTAATAAAAGATGACGTCATTACTTCATAATATACAATATCTCCCCAAATAACAAAGTTTCTAAGTGTTGCCATCCTTAAAAACTAATATTAAAATTAATAAGTGTTGCCACCCTCAAAAAACTAGTAAATTAAATAATAAACAGAAACCGAAACTAAAATCGAAACTACAGGCGGGCAGAAATAAGTATACGGGCAGAAATAAGAAACTTCCGGTCCATAGGAGGGCAGAAATAAGCAACTTCCGGTTGTAGGCGGGCAGAAATAAGCAACTTCCGGTTGTAGGTGGGCAGAAATACGCACCTTCTGGTTGGGGCAGAAATAAGCTCCGGTTGACTGTGACGTCACTTCCGTTCCTTATATCCCCCTGTATACTACTACGGATCATGGGTTAGAGCTCTCTTGCTATCTGGTTAACCATGAAAGGTTTCTGTGGTTTTCCCCCACCGTGTGACGCATATACTAATAATTCTTGATATTAATTCATAATATTAACTAATAGAGCCTTTTCACACTTCACCTCAAAATTGCAACATTAGAGGAAGAGAGTTACTTCCGGTTTTCGGAAACTTGTTGATTACACTTGATTAAACATCCATGGAGTATATTAAAAACTATGAAGAGGTTTTGAGGATGAGATGATGATGGTTTAATTATTTTTATTTTTTTTGGTAATTTGCTAAATTATTCCCTGTTTCTTTTCACTTTCAAAGTGTAAATAATTTTAAGTTTTGTAAAGCAAAATTCATTTTACAATTTGGCTTTTAATTCACAATAAATGCATTTTTTTTTATTTTGAATCAAATCAACAATTTCGTAAAAAAAATCAAAAACACGTCCTCCATAGAATTTTACTCGATTATTTATTGGTTTACTAATATTTCAGTGACTAATTTCAAAAGAAATCAAAATATTTCAAAACAACAAATGATCTATTATCTACTTTTTGTCTATTTATACGATATATCTTTTCTATGATCTTTATTTTATCGAGAAAAATCCTAGCTATTCCACTAAACAAAACAAGGTGTGTTGTCACATTACATACTTCATATTATATCTTTGCATAAAGATGAAGTTGGCGTAGATTGTAATGGAACGAATGAATTAAAAATAAAATTTGAATTCTTGACAAAATTCTAAACTGAAAAGTACGAATTTCGGACAAATCTAGACCTCAAATTGCTCAAGTTCTGATAAAAAAAAAGAAATTATTTCTTTATACAAAATTTCAATAAGATCGGTGTTTTTGAAAAATAGTTTCAATAAAAGAGTTTCTAACTTTCCCTCCCTGTCGTTCAAAGGAATTGCTTTGATTGAAATCATATATAATTAGATTTTTTTTTCGAAATTTTAAAATCCCTTAACCTAATAAAACGTGAAACGCGTCATGTTAAAATTTATAACAAATACTAATATTGCATACAATTTGAGAAAATGTTTAGATACTATAAAAACATTACTACATTAGAGAGTTGAAATCATTTGATTTGCATGCAATTAAGCCATTAATTTTTAAATTGTTAGAAATTGTTAGTTATCGATGTAAAGATTTCGTATAAAAAATGTAGCGAAACTGAGCAAGACATATTTAACTGAGCAAAAGGGTTTTTAAGGAGGGTTAAATGAAATTAATTTTTAATACGAAACCTACTTAAAATAAAGTTACAGATCTTTGAAAATTACAAAGAATAGAGACTATGGTATTAACGATTACTTTGTATATGTAACATAATTTTCGATTGAAACTAAAATATATAGTGAATATTCTATGATGTTGTTGACATTCTTAGTTCTAGGGATCACGATGCCAGTAAACAAATTTTGAATGTCGACTTATCCTTTTTACTAATATAATGCTCCTATGTCCTCGACTTGAGAACAGTCTAAACACAAAATCGAAAAGATCATTAGAAAAAAAATCTTTTGGATGTACATTTAAAAGACTTCTCTGTTAACCAAATTTAAAAAAATGTTGGAGACTATATGTAAGAATCAATTGCGGTGTCATTGTAGTTACAATGATTTAAGACAATCATTTTCTGGATCTAGTTACGAGTAAAGACGTGGGAAAACACTTCTTTGCAGAAGAACTCATCATGGACAGAAGATTGTTGAATCTTTGTGAAAAGAAAAATGGCTAAAGATAAATATATAATTTATAATGTTCGAAAAATCGTATCACAATATCATTCAAAAAAAGGGACTTAAGTAATCAATTTATCACCACTCCCTTCCAAAATGAAACCAAATAAACTCTTTTCAAATTAAATTTTTTTTCATAGTTTTTAAATAAGTTCTTTTTTTTTTTTTTTTTTTGCCTTTCCTAATATTTGGAAATGCGTAATGTGTGTAAATGCATTCTTGCTGCATACCATTCACACACCTCTATCGAAGTCGATAGAGAAAGAGAATTTGATTTATGAGTTTTACGTAGAAGAATATATTTCACTAATCAGAAAATAATTCCCCCTAGAAGAAACTGGAGGTGCGCGAATCACATGCAGTGAAATAGCTCTTAAAGCGGTGTTTCTTCAGGAGACCAAGCAATTGTTAGTACAAATGTGATAAATCATGACGAATTTACTGAATACAAGTACCAAACATACTGAAATAGAAGTATACACGTCATATTTCTGTCAACTTTACACCAGTGATATGTAAAAGCATCCAAAAAGCTTTTTGTTTCATCTTACATTTTTTACATCACCTGATTTGATTTTATATCAGAAATGTTCAGTCATATCATTGGTTAACCTTACTTGGTAAATATTTCTTTTTCTCCAATTCCTCGAAAGTTGAGGGAGCAATCATAAGGTTTGTGATTTTAAATTCATCAATCATGTCCCATAAATAAGTAGGACTCAATAAGTATGGAAAACCTTCATGAAGAACTACAGTTTGTCCCAGGAATAAAAGACTCGCACTGAAGCACCATGATGCCCAACCAACCTGCAGGAAAATAGAAGTTTCGATATTACAGTTAATAGAGGAAATTAAAAGACCTTTTTTTAAAAAAAAAAAAACTTTTTTTTTATTATTACGGAAATAGACACAGCTCTAAATGCGTGCTTACAAAAATGGAAACAGCTTGTAATGCGCGCTTTCGAATATAGACACAGCTCGAAATTTATATTTAAGAAAGGGAAACATAGCATTTGATTCTATTTTTTAAACTTATTTTATAAGCATTTTTCTTATTTTATAAGCATTCATAAGCATAAAAAGAAATAAACAAATGAATCCAAATGTGACATAGTCCCTTTTCCATAAGTAACTTAGTACAGTTTATTGACTTAGTTTTTTTTTTTTCAAGCCAACCGCTGTTGTTTCAAAGTTGCCACGGGTGCTATAAATTTATAATTGTGATAATAAATTTACGTCGTAGGAATTTAGAGTTTTAAGCTCACTTTATTATTTAGAGTTCTGAATGTAAACACAGCCCTGAAGACTTACATCTGTAATAAGCTTAGCCACCCTTACACCTCGTTCTTCAATATGTTTCAAAAAAAGATTTATGTTCGCAAAGAAATCATAATAAAATTAAAAGAGAGCTATTTGGATAAAGGAATGAAGAGCATAAGCATAAGTAAATAATATTATTTTATGTGTATACAGTTTTAGTGAAATTTTTTGAATGACATTTAAATTTTTTTGTCAAGAAACAAAAAGATTTTCGTGAAGCAATTATAAAAGAGGGAGACGATCAGACAAGGGATTAGTAAATATAATAGCAAAGATTAGTGAGATTCCTAGGAATCTCACATATTGCTTCTATTGCTTTTCGGCCTTTTGCATCATGTTTTTAAATTCTATGGATTTTCAAATTGTTTTTAAATCTAACAACGGCATAATTTGTTTTATGTAATTTTTCAGGTGGTTTCATGTCAGTTAGTTTTTACTTGTTGACATACAAAATATTATTTTAATAAAATCTGTCATGATTGGGTTAAAGCAAAATCTGGTAAACGACGGTTATAGATGTACTTTCCTTCAATATATATTTTACTGAATACAGCTATTGAAAAAGAATTTTTCCCTAAAACCTCATACAGTTTTAGTTTGTTACTTTTTAGCATTTCTCATATGAGCTTTTAAATTCTGCAGGTTTCTCAATTCTTCACAAATATAACAAACAATTTTAGAAGAACATTAAATTGATTTCCGAGCTGATTTCACGTCACTTAATATTTATGACCAGACAATATTTTTTTAAAAAGTGACGTGAGTGTTAGTGTGTTGATGATTTCATATTGATGATTTGTTCCTATTTCATATTGACTCTTCCTATAATACAATTTGGTCACGAAATCACGGGTATTAGAATCAGATACAATGTAGTACTGGAATCAGACACGATTCGGTATCGGCATCAGTTGCAATTCGTCCTCGAAATCAGATGCAATTCGCTATCGAAATTAATCACAATTCGATATTTAAATTCCACGCAATTCGGGATCAAAATTAGACAAAAAGCTGCAATGATCAGATCTTGACAAAAATTGGTATCGGAACTAAGCACAATTTGTAATCGGAATTAAACATCGAAATCTAGCATAATTCGATATTGAAATGTGGCACCATTCGGTATTGGAATTGGGCACAATTCGGAATTAGTAACAAATCAAGGAGTTTATAAAAAGTGATTCGAAATGATTTTTTTAAAGGTGATTCCAAACGGAAATGAGTTCTCATTAGATTTCGCAAATGACAATTTGACATTATGCGAGAGCTTTGAAATCGGAGAAGGAATTAGAGAATGAAATGTCTATTTGCTGGTGAACTATTAAGTGAGATGGTCTAATCCTAGTAACTTCATCTAGGGTGATCGCTGTATAGAAACATAAAATAACCAAATCGATACTGTTAGATACGAGGTTAGAGTTAGGTTGTGTTAGAAAGAATAGATAGTGTTAGATACGAGGAAAACGTGAGACCATTTACAATTGTTTTACTATCACAGTCAAACCCCGTAATAGTGATCATGGTTTAAAGTGAACTCCCGGATACAGTAAACGAAATTTTGCTCCCGTGCCTTGATTTACACATATATTATATTTTGTGGATATAGTGAACCAAAAGAAGGGAGGAAATTGGATATTATGAATTTTTTCTATCTTTGACTGATTTTTTTTCTCATTTTTTTGGTAATTTTGAAATTCCTACGTTAGACACATAACGATTTTAAAAATCATCTATTGATTGGAATGTGGCCATAACCATTTCTTCTTGTTTGCTTCTTCTATCTCAGTTTCCCATCATCAGTTTAATTTAAAAAATATATTCCGTGTAAAAAATAAAAAAAAATCCGAATTCACTCAGAAGAAAAATAGTAACATCATATTATCTAAATATATACTGACTATTAAAAAAATATTATAAGCTTAATCTAAAAATGCAAACAAAACTAACTGTTGGAACTTCAAAGACCTGCTTTCAAATGAATTAACTATACAGTGCACTTATGACGTAGCACCTTTTAGGACCTAGAGGAATGAAAGTTTTAGAGAAAAACCGTCCGAGGATAAAATCAGCTGTAAATCTACGACATGTAGTCACGTAATCAGAATCCACGATGCATCCATTCTTGCCAAAAATCGGCAATCAAATTCAGAGCGTGTCTTGGTGGTCTTGAGGTTGCAACATTCGCACCACGTATATCGTATATGGATGCCATTTTAAAATGGATCGCAGAGTTTTTCATACTGTCGAGCAACTCACGTAACATCGATCGAACACTTGCTGAAGAATAGCTGGAACTGTAGAAGCTCTTTCAACCACAACAACAGCGATTTCCTAGACAGTTTCATCCACAACTGTTTTCCACCCTCTTTCTGGCAACACACTTAAGTCTTCAGTCTCTGCAATGTTTGTAATCATCTTGTTCTAACTGTTCTCAAACATGGGCCTTTGTCACATTCCCTTTAAACGAAACGATGATATTCACGCAGTGCTAAGTTATTGCTGCCGTTCTGTTTAAACAGTTTTACCAGTACAACTCGATCTTTCTTCTGTAAGGGTATGATTATGGATGACAAAAATACGCTGAAAATTTCTTATGGCTCTAATTACTAGTCTCTTTATTGGTTTGACTCATTTTCATAAGAAAGTGTGTTTTTTTAATCAAAAAAGGCCATCTGGTAGTCAAAATTGCAATTTTTATTGCAGAAATCTTTTTCCTATGGTTCATACAACGTATATACCAAGTTTCATTAAAATCTGATGGGCAGAACGGGATCAGAATAGGGTCCTTTCAATTATAATCTCCCTTTTCTATTTATGTTGCATATAATAACCTTTTGAAAGATATGATAGTGGAATTTTTAAACCTTAATTTTCAAATCATTGTTTGATTGGGAAATGTTACGTCGTATCCATAAATAAGGGTTAATTTTCTCACAACTCAACAACTTTCAAAGAGAGTCAAAACTAAAAGTATATTCATCAAGACTTCGAAACACTTTTAAAATGCGTTATGCAAATGCATGTAAAAAATATTTTTATTCCTTTGTGAAAATTCTTATTATTTACCGGGAAAGTATTGCATAATAAATTTTCTTAAATGTAAAAAATATCGAAATTTTAATGACCTAAAATTTTATTATTAAATTTGTTTGAAAATCATATTTTATTCTTTGTAAAATATATCGCTTAAACCAGGCAATTATCTGATAATTCCCGAATAAAAATGATGTTTGTAAAATTAAACTAGATAGGAAATTTTAATGTGTTCAATTGTCGATAAAAGTGCCTGAACCCATTGCCCTTTCTCCTCTCCCTTTGAACGTCACTGAATAGAGATAATCGTAGAGATAGTGTATGTATTAGAAAGGCCCCTGGCCTCGCAGTAGCGGTCCACAAGAGAACGCTTGGTTAAAGCGTTTGGTTAGTTTTGCTAAGAATGAAATGTTCACCATCCATAAACTGTCCCAGATTACAGAGACATCAGATAGGACTTGAAACTATCAAGTGTGAAACGGTGCAAGTGTTTCGGGAGTCAGGCACGGCCAGTGACGAGTCCTAACTCAGCCACTATTTTATGTCACTGGAGCCAATGAAGTTTGAGATATCGATCTTAATATTTAATAATTTCTTTTCAACTTTGATAAAATTGTTGAAAAACATAATGTGAATATTTTGATTTATGTGTTAATTTAAAATTCGAGATATTTAAGCCTAAATTTATATTTTATTGTAAGAACGCTTTTTAGGAAAATAAAAATGCTTTTTTACACATTTTTAATATTATTATATACCTGCGTGTCATAATACTAATTAAGCCCTTTTACTCTAATTTTTAATCTTAAATAAAATTTTATTCAAAAATAATAAATAAAATAATGGTAAACTATTTTTATAAAATATTTTATCGTAATTTATAGTTTACTATTATGTTTCTAAAAATGCATAAATATGATCATTTTAAAATTGAAAAATAATCATAAAAGAAAAAAGAATTTCCAGCATTTATTTAAAAACAATGAAAGCTGCATGTTTCATATAAACTCATAAGAAAATTTAAATATCTATTTATAGAAAAAGAAAAGTTAGTTTAGAAAGTGATAGAAATTAAGTGCAGTAAATCTGATGAGTTTCATTTGAAAGTAAAACTGAAAGACGATTTCTTACGAAAGAAAACTGGCAATTGTTAATAGTATCACAGCATGATATAAATTAAGTGCAGTAAAGATGAGTTTTATTTGAAAGTAAAACTGAAAGACGATTTCTTACAAAAGAAAACTGGCAATTGTTAATAGTATCACAGCATGATATAAATTAAGTGCAGTAAAGATGAGTTTCATTTCAAAGTAAAACTGAAGGACGATTTCTTACAAAAAGAGACTGGGTTTTTTTAATAATCTATCTTTGCTCTGATAAAAATCGATAAAGTTTCATCAGATTTTAATTACCACTTTTGTTTCTTACTCTCATTTTTATATTCATGCGCAACTTCCAGTAGGTATAGATTTTTCACTAAATTTCAAAAAATATTCTTAAAAAAAATAATTAATAAAAAAAACATATTAAGAGTGATTACAACGGAACATCACATATTTTCAGAACGAAATAAATTTCAAACTTACAAGATCTCAATCTTTGTGTAAATAAATGTATCAATTATATTGCCTTCAGATTAATGTTTATTGGTACAAGTTTATTTGTTATTTATAAAGTCATTTTTTAAACAATAAAGATAAATGTTATAATAATAATTTTTCTGAATAAATGGAAACTTACTGGCGACATAGACAAATAGACATCGTCTCTTCCCGCATCCATATGTATTCCGTAGTCTCTGATCACAGACATAAGAAGCTATAAAAATAAAGACAGACATATGGAACAATAAGAATAAAAATTTATTAGGAACTTAAAAATTTATATCACTTAAAAACTAATAATAATTATCTTAAGTTAATATATAACTTCTTTATTGAGCAGGAATGCTTAAGCGATACAGCATTCATTTTTTGACACCACCTATCCAGAAACCTAAAATTCTGACTGAGGTCATCTAATGATTCGCTAATTCATCTTCTGATTCACCCTCGCTGATATAACGTAGGTTCAATGTTTGAGCTTTTCAGTTAACAGTGGTTTTTTTCATTATTATTATTGTTAATTTCTTGTTCATGCACATTGTAAAAATGGTCACTCGATTATCACGAAACTTTCTTCCTTTTTGACGAAACCGTTTCCTGGTATATGCTCCTAGCAAACATTTCGTCAAAGTGACGAAATAACTATCGTCACCTCTTCGAGGAAATAGATTTCGTAAATTTTAAGATATAATTCGTCATTCTTTTTTTTTCGAAGAAAAATTGCAGTGCCAAATGTTCTAACTTTTTTAATAATCACTTTAATGTGGGCACCATATAGACGGCACGACGCAACAAGGACAGATAGATAAATTTCCCCAATGTCCGAAAAGGGATTCAAACTCCGGATCTTCCTGGTAAAAGGTTGACTCCTTGACCACCATACAAACCGGTCAGCGTAGTCTGTCAGTTTATTTTCCATTCTCTCGTCTTTATTCTAGTTTCATCATTCTAGTTAACACATCTCCCACAATGTACTACGAAAAGGTTACGAATTGAGGAAACATTTTCGTCATACATTTGAGAATTCGCGTTTTGTCGCAAATTACATAATTTCGTGACGAAATGATTCTCAAAATTAACGAAATACTGCTCAAGAATTGCTGAATCATCAAAAGTGAGAGGTTTATTTCTGAGAGTGCACAGCACGAATAATCGGATTTTCACGTATTAGAACTCAACCTTAATGGTTCTAAGGGATGACCTCAAATATTGCAATTAGTGCAGACGATATCTAATGTTACGAAATCAGTCACAAAAACGTAGTTTATATGAATAAATATATCTTTCTTTTCAACGGATTTGGATTCTTGACCCCCTAGGGGTAGCCGCAATTTGAGAAATATGGTCCTAATAGTATGGTTAGAGAGAGGTCCTAAGTTTGAGCCCCTTCAAGTTAATTTTACTTTTTTGTAAGAAAAAAGGGAAATACCTTAAAGATCTAAAAAAAGATTTTTTACAGACATGAAAAAAAACATGTTTAATTAAATTAAAGAATAGATCAATCTTGTAATTGAAATTTTGGGAAGTGACACAGTGACAAATATTTCAAATTCATATGATGATCATGGCACCACTTAACGTTAAAAAAGTTAAGTGGATGTTACAGTCTTGTTATCATTAAAAATTACTCTAACAACAAATGTAAGCTGAGAAAATAATTCTCCAATACCAAATTAAGAAATATGAATTTTAATCCGTACTCAAAATTTATTTCATCTACTTTTTGTTAACGATCCTCCAGAAATCTCTGACAACCCTCAAATACACCTTTCTAACATCCTCTTCACGGAACACCTCTACACTAAACACGTTGGGAACCTATGTACAAGAATTAAAAACTCATTTTTTTTAATTTGAAACTTCAAATAAACAAGGATCAAGCAAGTAGCTGGAATGATTTCAAACGTGTGAAATACATCTAAGTTATTGACGATAAAATAAATTCCTAGAGAATATAATTTTTCTATTAATCCTTCTTTTAAATACTTATTCCGGTTTTGATGAATTCAGAAAAATCTGTCGAAAACTTATATTTCAAATGCTTTCAATAGTATGTCTTCTTAATAAATAAATAATAATGTTTTTAAATCTTATTTGATAAATTGACGTGCAGAGCCGGCAATAGGCTGGCGCAGACAGTGCAGTCACTCAGTAGCGTAAGGCCTTGCCTTTATTAGGAACTTTTTAAAAATTCTACAAAGTTGTTTTCAAGAAATAGCCTGGAATTTTTCGAGCACTAGAAAACAAAAACGAAGCTTTTAGTTTTGGAATTAAAAAATAAAGAATTAGCCTTTCTTATCCTGGAAAGGAAATTAAAGAAAAAATGTAGAACCTCATTATAATGCATTCTTCTTCCTTATTTAGAAAAAGAAAATACAGTCAAACCTCAATAAAACGGATTAGAAGGAAAATTCAAGATATTGAAAATCGAATGTCTCAATTGACTATTTGAAACAGTCCAATCAAAATAATAGCAGCACTATCATTTAAAAAGTTATATAGAATGTATTTATTTAAAAACAAAAAAGCAGTTGCTTCAAACAATGTCAACATTCTTGCTCTTTCGATTGATTTTACATTTTACTGAAATTCTCTGCTTAATCATCTTTTTTTACTTCTGTTCTTTATTCAGTTCAATTCTTTTATTTTAGATCTCCAGATCTTGTTATCTCTTTCAATATTTTAAATTTTTCCTCATCACAACACACACTAAAACATTAATTTCCACACCAACTACTTCCTCATAAATATCAATTTGTTTTGAATTTATTAAGTTAGTGAGTCTTACCGATTTTATGAGCAGGTATCTTATTATATGCATGCATATTACGTGTCTACTATTTTAGAAAATAATGATCAAGGCAGCTTCTTTTCCATCGTGAGAATCATTTTCTTAAGAGTTTCAAGAAATGATTCGTAAAATTATTCAAAAAAAAGTTTTTAAGAACTGGAATTCACGAAAGCGTTTTAAATTCTTCCAAAATTAGGGGGAAGAACAGTTTTGGTGATTTGACTTGAAAAAAGTATGAGTAAAATATTTCGTAAAATCAAGAATAACCAAAAAATACATTTAGCAAAAAGAAGCTCTTCTCTATCAGTCCTGTAAAAATTATAGTGTAATTTCCTATCTGAATTCGATGTTATAAAACTCCAAGAATTGAGTGAATGAGTACTTTATTTCAAATTAATACCAATTCGTGAGTTCATATATACTTTAAAAGGTGAAGTTAAGTTTAAGCTCTCATAGTAGAGGAAACCAAGCTTAGATACATCTACTCCATTTAGGAGTTCTTATTCTACAATTTTAGCATTCGTTTGAAAATTATTACATGAAAGCCTTAGATTGTTTACAATTGAGCACGATAAGATTAAAGCTTGTTTTCGCCTCACAAGTGCCTGACAATCTATAGAAACAGAAGTAAACTTTCATAAAAGGCATGCATGTTTTGAGTTAATTATACTCTCATAAGAAAATTTACATAAATCTGTCGAATGTTTTAAATAATTTTATAATATATAATTTCTATTCGCTTTTGTTCTGTGAAGACTTGTTCATTCTAATATTCTCTCTGTTCTGCGTGCATGTTTGATTGACAAACTAATTTTATTTCAAGAATTAGTGTATATATGCATCCTAAATTAATGATTCTTTCTTTATATTTCATCTCAAAAATAACTTTACTGATTCTTATATGTATCATATCTTACTACAATTAAAATTTCAGTGTTGTAACCGAATACTAAAAAAAACTTGAAATAATGTTAAGGACACTTTATTTCAAGTTAAAACCAAGTTAAACGTTTATAAACACTTTATAGAAAGTTGTCAAATTTAAACACATATAATGGAGGAATTGTAAACCAAGCTCCACACATTCACACCAGTTGTGCATTGCTTTTGCTTCCAAAACCACTAATTTAGACAACCTTCGAAAATCCTCAGTAGTTTTTTACAAACGAACACAAGATGGCGTAAATTTGTTGCTCACTTCCATGCTGATAAACATCGTAAGAAACAAAAGTACTTCTTTTGAAAATTTATGTATGTTTTCAACTGTGCAATAAAGATAATACTTTAATTTTAAAATTTCTGTCAATTGAATTAAATAATTTTAAATACTATTTATTATTGTTATTTATTTACACTATCTGGCCATTAATGACCGGACACCCCTCATTTCGGATACATGAGTTGCTAGTATCAAGTCAGTAGGGCGTAGGGCCGCCACGCGCCCGAATCACAGCTTCTAACCCTTCTAGGAAGGCTATCTACTAGGTGTTGGTACACGGCGGCAGGTATTGCCCGCCATTCCTCCTGTAACATGGCGAAGAGTTGAGTGGTGATTTTGTGGCGCTGTGATCTGGCCCTCAACCGGCGCTCCAACTCATCCCAGAGATGCTCAATTGGATTGATGTCGGGACTTTGGGATGGCCAGTCAAGCTCTTGCACCCCCATTTCATCAAACCAGTCCGTGATGGCATGTGCTTTATGAATGGCAGCGTTATCGTGTTGAAACACAAACGGGCCATTACCGAACTGTTGCCACAGGGTGGGAAGCGCCGAATTGTCCAGGATGTCTCTATACCCTTCTGCGTTCAGGGTTCCACGCACTAACACCAAGGGTCCAAGGCCAAACCATGAGAAACAGGACCACACCATAATTCCTCCACCGCCGAACTTCACAGTGGGGACAATGCACTCCGGTAGGTACCGTTCTCCGGGCATTCGCCAGGTCCACACCCGTCCATCAGAGTGCCACAACATGTAGCGTGACTCATCACTCCACATAACGCTTTTCCATTGCTCTACTGTCCACTGGCGACGTGCTCTGCACCACTGAAATCGGTGGCGGGCGTTTGATGGAGAGATGTTTGGCTTATGTGCTGCTGCTCGTCCATGGAATCCTTGTGCAATCAGCTGCTGACGAATGGTACGTGTACTGGCAACACTGCCAGATGCAGCCCGGAAGTTGGTAGCGACAGTGCCCAACGACATTTGTCGGTTTGCCTTCACTACACTTCGAAGAGATCGTCGATCCCTGTCGGACATTATTTTGGGCTTGCCGGGTCGGGACTGCTGTTTTATCACTCCCTCTCGTTCCCATTTCAACACGACGTTACCAACTGTTGACCGTGGTATCTGAAACTTGTCGGAGATGGCACGTATGGAATGACCAAATCGGTGGGCGCCTATGATCATGCCCCTTTCCGCCTCATTCACCTCTCGCCGTCCACTCATTTTCACTGTTTACGCTCGTATGGCCGTTGCCTGCCTGCAAATGATCTTTCCCCCACCACAGGTTCCGTATTTATTCCACCAGGACGAGTCCACCTGCCTTTCAAGGGGTGTCCGGTCATTAATGGCTAGATAGTGTATTTATTTTCTAATAGCTTCTGTACAACTAAGCCTTGTTCAAGTTCTGCTTAGTATTCTCTCTGGGCGATGTGTATGTTTGATTAAAAAACTAATTTTATTTTTAAAATTTTTGCATTGATGAATTTTGAAATAACGATTCTTACTTTATATTTTATCACAAAAATAAATTATACTCAAAAATACTAACTCTTATATGTATCTTACTGCAATTATAAATTTTAGTGTTGTTACCGAGTACTAAAACTAAACTACTAAAACTACTTTAAGACAAGTAGAGTAGTGAAACATTTTTGGTGGAACAATCCTTGGTTCTAAGTGTAGTTAAACACCAAGAACCGAAAGTTATTTGTGATGTTTCACTACATCACTTTGGTGTAAAATAGTTGACACCATTTTTTGGGTGAAGAGAAACTTTTAAAGTCAATAAAGCGAGGAAAAATAAGTACAGAGAGGAACTACAATAAATGTTTGCATACAGGGGACAGCGAAATTGTTTGTAACTACTTCGCACCAAAAATAAAGCACTAAGAATAGTTTTTGGTATAGAGAAACTCTAGGAATTACACTTCCTTCAGTGTAAAGTAATTGCTACCATTTTTAATGCTCACTTAACGCTAAAATTTGTAATGACAATAATATATAACACACACAAGAGTCAGTAAAATTATTTTTATGATACAATTTATTAGAAGGGCAAGTAATTTTGAATACATAGACAGAACAATTTTAGAATTAAAATAAGTTTGTATATCAACCATGCTCATAGCTCAGAGAGAGCATTAGAGCAAATTCGAATTAGGCTTAATGCAACGGAAGCGGATCGAATTTTAATATTATGATATTATTTAATATTTGGCAATTATTTTATGAGAACATATAACATAAGAATATATATGTAAATTATCTTATGAAAGCAAATTAACATTTATTAAGCAACTCTTTCTTTATTAAAAAACTTCACTTCTTTATTAAACTAGTAAAATTCTGCATGTCTTATAAAACAGTGGACTTTTGTTTCTGCGAAATGTTTAGCAGCGTGCAATGCTATAACAATCTCACACTATTTCGTACTCGATTGTAAACAATCTACCGACTATGCCCAAGGTACGCCAAAGTTTGTGCTTACAGAAAGATAAATAAATTACGAATGGTGTGAATGTGCTAGAACTCGGCATAAGAATACTTCATTATTGGTGTTTAGATTTAGTTATTCATTATTCTTCTGAGCTAACTTACCCTGATCATATCCTTGCATGCATGAAGCTCGACAAGCAAGACTTTAATCAGTAATTTATTGTTGGTTTAGGATTTCTTATGGGTGTGTACAAAGTCATGAACCTGATTTAGTCCTACTAGTCTTTGGGAATGAGCAACAGCAACAACAGATTTAACTATATCATTTAAATTATGTAAGAACAATCACTTCGACGTTAACTTGAAATAAAAAATTCGTTCACACAATTTTTGGATTTTTTCTTCGCTAAATTCGGATATATATTACAAGTCAGTTTTTACTGTGTAGACTAAAATAATAAGATTTTTATTTGCTATAAAAATATTCAAACGATTAATTTAATCTAATTTATTAACTATCTTATAGCTTCTCGTCGTAATTAAATATTTTGACCAACGAGTACAAAACTAATTCTATTTTGACATAAACAATCGCTTTGTGAAGGTGAAAAATTCTAAAACATTATTTTTTAAGCTACCTAATATTGTCCAATATTTGGATGCTGTGTCTTAGGGGGATAAGTGACAAAGAGTTTTTCATAAAACGCGCTGATGAATTTGAATTGCTGATGAATTATTCAATTTTAAGTTATGATAATCAGCATTTTGTAACCTTTTTAGATTACATAGCAATGTTGGAAATAGAAATTAATAAAATAACTTACTCCACATCCGTAAATTGGGGCTTTAGGCAATCCAGTTGTCCCAGATGTAAAGTTGACGTGAACAGGATAGGAGAAGGAAACTTGCTCAAAATCTATTTCTGGAGTATCGGCTTGTCGTCCCAATTCACAAAACTCATCCAGGAAACAACTAAAAATTATCGTGTTTCAGGAGCATTTAATTAGAGGATTAAGCTTTTAATTAATACTAATAAGCATTCAAATTTTTACACCAAAAGAGAAACACCTATTGATTTTTTTCTTTATCGTTTTCAAAAAATGTTCTTAAAATAAAGTAAAAATAACAAATTCCTTCTAATTCCAAATAATCTATAAACAAATAATTTTCATTTTAATTCCAAAAATTAATTAAATATTTATAAACATTTAAATTTATGTTTTACTATTATTTTGGATCTAAAGCAAAAGAGCGATATTTGTTCTTATAAAAGTTTATAGGCATTTTTAATATTTTTTTAATAAACAAATTTCTATAGAAATAGGCTGACCTAACTACAAAACAAATTATCATATCATTAGCACAAAAAATGCCATTAACTTTCTAATGACTAAGCGATTGTTAACGATTTGTTAGGATATCAAAATATAGAGAGATGCTTACAAAGCGAGATTCTCACTAACATCTGCGTCAAATTAAAATTTTTTGGTTCTTTCATTCTAGATTAGCCTTCTCGTATCAATTGTTCTGTTCGAAACAGCTGTAAAAAACTAATGCTTTTTGCCTAAAATGTTACATTAGAACAGATACAAAGTTAGCACTTAGTATTGGTTGAAATGTAGCTGATATTCTGCCGGTACTTTTATCAGCCAAAAGAAAACTAGTTAACAGTGAGTAAATTAAATTTTCCACTGACTTTTGTGTTCAATCTGTAACAACTGTCTTTAACGCAATTAATTTTAACATTTTGGGTGTCATTAAATGTTTTTGACATAGTGTTTTGGATCCTTCAAAAGAAAGAATATTTTTAGTTAATTTTTATTAATCTTACTTTTATTCCAGTTGATTTTTATTAATTTTTAGCTCATTAAAATGGAATGTTGGGTTGATGAAAAAATGAACATTTTTAACACCTTCTTCTCTTTGCTTTTAATCATGGTTCTATAGCCGCTAAAGCTGCTCATCACGTGACATTTGTGTTGTCTTTTAAAGGGGTGCAAGAGCTGAAAAAACGCTTATTTGTATGCCAAGTTTAAAAGTAGAAATGTTGACCTCAAAGACACATCTCATTCTGGCCATCCAATTGTTGAATCAATAGAAATTGAAATACAGTTTACTCTAAAATTCCTATCTAAGGACAAAAGAACAGACAGAGAAAGTAAACTGCTTCCACACATTAAATTTAAAGAAAACAGAGAGAATTTAGTTACCAACCCAATATTTAACCTCTCTCTCAAATATACGCCCCAAAGTAACTGACTCGTAAATTCTTTAACTATAGTTTATTTTTTGTCCTGGTTCAATATCAGAGGCCAGGTACATATAGAGATCCTCTGTAAATATTTTATGAGCCAAAATAAAGAGACAGTGACAGAATTTAATTTTCAGATAGTACGTTTGTTAATTTGTATCAATAATATTCATTAACAATTACGTTAACCCGTTTAACTCGAATGAAAAGCTACCCTATGCCCACACGCTCCGAGAGTATACATAATAAGAAATATGTATACGTACTAATACGTATCGTAATACTAGAGTACAGATGAACGATAACGTCTATATGATCATGAACCACTAGAGTCAGAAAAGCACGTTTCGTGAATCACGTGATGAAGTATATGCGTTCAGGGTCCTAAAGGGGCTAAACACACAAAAAATGTATATTAAAAGGCCTAATTTTTAGTTAACTTGTTCTTAACCTAAACTGTACCGACATTGTTTGAAAATCCAAAATCAGAGTCGTAGTCAAATGCGTAAATACTGCAGTAGCTTTTATTCGTACTAAATATTATTGAAAATCGTAATTATAATTAATGATCTTACTACTATGATTGAAAATGTTTCTTTATATTGACGATTTAATACTGGTTGTTAAAATGAATCCATAGAAATTTACCTATTCTTTATAATTGAGATGTCTTTCAATTTGGATTTTTCTTGAGAAGCGACTATGATGATTTTTTCCAGAGATGGCAATCCTGAAAAATATTTTTTTTTTTTAATAATTGTTACGTGAATCACTTTTATTAACATACAAATGAACTTATATAGCAAGAGCAGAACTTCCCTAGTTCAAATCATTCAACACAAGTTAATAATAAATGAAAGACAATATATTCTGATGACATTATGGCTACCTACTCTATGGCACATTGTGCCACTTTTACCTTCAAAACAGCTGCAACTTATTTTGGCATGGATGCTACAAGTTTTTGGTAGATAAGTGGGGACAGGTTGGATTAAATGTCTAAGCAGAGGCTATGCAAAGTAGAGATATTCCGACATAATAGTATTTAATCTCTTATCCGCTTTTATGTGTCATCCCAAATATGCTCTATCGAATTAGGATCCATCTAGTTAGGTGGCCAGAGAAATCAATTGAAATTCGCCATTATGCTCTTCGAACAACTCCAACGCAAGTTGAGCATTATCAGTTGAGGCCTGCTGTAAGATTCCATGAAAACAGAAGCCATGTAAGGGGGAAAAGGACAGCAATTATTTTCAGATAATCTGCAGCTTTCAGGGTCCATTCTGCCACAAATACGAGTCCCCGAGACAGTCATGAGTCTGATATCCAAAGCATAAATACCACCAACAACACAAACCAGTGTATAACCTGCAGTACATGAAGGGAGCAACTGTTCGTCCAGAAGATGGCATACCCTAACGCGACCATCGACGTGATGAATGAGAAATCGTGATTCATCTGACCAGACCACAGTCTTTCACTTATTCATCACCCAGTGTTGATGTTCCAGGACCGCTAATTTACAATCCAATGGCCTTTAACGACCGCTCTCTTTTCTGAAGATTTTCCTCTTAGCTGTAATTTGCCCCAATTACAATACAAGCTTTTGTTCTTTTAAAATTTGTAATCTGAACAAAAAAAAAGTCTAGAATCAAATTTTTTTCATTAAAAAAAGGCTAAACAAAGGAACGAGTCATTAAGAGCCGTTGAATTGGAAAATAACTCCCGGGCCCACTGTGGAGTAGATGACGATGTGCATCTGCTGTGGAGTCTCCTTTCAGCAGTGTATACTGAACCTTGTATTCCGAAACAATTGTAATTGGATCTGTATTGTGTAAGTCTGTCATCTGAGCCACTGTCTGGCACCGAGTTTGTTTTACCAAGTGGGACAGTCTCCAGCATCCCTTTCCCTTGACAACATGTGAACATCCAACACCTTGGCGTCGACTGCTGGTTTTACCTTCATTTATCCACTTTGCAAATATGATTATACTACGAATCGAGAACAACCTATTAGTTGTGCAGTTTCGAAGACATTCGTTCTGAGTCAAAGGGTTATTACGATCTGCCCTCTATCAAATTCGATTAAATCAGTAGCCTTTCCCATCAGTCGCAAAATAAATGCAGGAATGATTCCTTACCATATTCAGCAGCACTTAAATACCATTTCAGTAACAGATTGACGGATTGTCAGCGGAAGACTAAACGTATTAAAATAAAAATCTAAAGAACAAAGGGGGAAGTCTATCATGAAGCTATAAGACTTTTATGCAGAAATATTGGAATTTAGTAACAAAAGTTGCCAAAAGATAGCGCTATGTGCTGTACAAAGTTTGTAACAATACAAATACCTTTGGACTATAATCTAACCTGTGATACTGCAATACCAGCAGAAACACACAATGCTTAATANTTTATTAACATACAAATGAACTTATATAGCAAGAGCAGAACTTCCCTAGTTCAAATCATTCAACACAAGTTAATAATAGTTTCCCTTGACAACATGTGAACATCCAACACCTTGGCGTCGACTGCTGGTTTTACCTTCATTTATCCACTTTGCAAATATTATTATACTACGAATCGAGAACAACCTATTAGTTGTGCAGTTTCGAAGACATTCGTTCTGAGTCAAAGGGTTATTACGATCTGCCCTCTATCAAATTCGATTAAATCAGTAGCCTTTCCCATCAGTCGCAAAATAAATGCAAGAATGATTCCTTACCATATTCAGCAGCCCTTAAATACCATTTCAGTAACAGATTGACGGATTGTCAGCGGAAGACTAAATGTATTAAAATAAAAATCTAAAGAACAAAGGGGGAAGTCTATCATGAAGCTATTAGACTTTTATGCAGAAATATTGGAATTTAGTAACAAAAGTTGCCAAAAGATAACGCTATGTGCTGTACAAAACTCGTAGCAATACAAATACCTTTGGACTATAATCTAACCTGTGATATTGCAGTACCAGCAGAAACACACAATGTTTAATAAAAGACAAGGCTCAAATTTTCTATATATATATACGTTGGAACGTTAGATTCCAAACGTTATCTGAAGCATCACGAAGGGGTGGCAAACTATATGCAATATACAAAAATCTTTCTAAAGCATATCATTTTTACTGTATTTCCATACATGCGTTCACGATACATCTGGTGGCCATTCAATGCAGCGTCAATGTAATGCATGCCTCCTGACCAGATGCATGCTTGGCCAGACCTTTGAGCAATTCCTGTAGAAATTATGGTCCTAAATGTGTAACATATGTGTCAAAATTCATTACAAAAATGTTATGAATTTTTTTATTGTCCTTGAATAAGTACGTATAACATTCAACTTTCTCTAGCGGCTTAGGATTTTATTAGAGACACCATAATCCTAGGAGAATTTCTTTTATGCCTTTGCCTTTTTATTTCGACTATGGTTTATAATAAAAATTTGCTTTACCTTCTGCGATATCTTTAACTTTTTTTAGCATATCTATTTCTGTTCCATTGAAGAGAAATCTGTCCACAGTCAATAATAACTTCGGTTTAATTTGAGACATTCTGTTTAAGACAGGCTGAAAAATTTATTCATTTATAGTTACAGTTTAAATGCTCTAACATTACAAACACATACAAATTTACATTAATACAATTACTTTATTATATTTAAATTTAACAAAAATGCATTAGCTAATTTTTATTTGTTAATACTTTGATGGTACATTATCTTTATACAGCGGATAACTGACTAATTTCAAGTATAAAAATCTCGAGAACAAAGGGGTAATAAAGGAAGGAACCAAGCGTAATGTCCATTACAAAGCGTATAAAAATTTTGCAGAATTTTTGGAATTTCGTTACAAAAGTTGTCAACAGATAGCTCTGTATACTGCACAGAGTTATTGAAAATAATGCAAATGCCGTTGGACTATGATCTAACCTGTGATATTCCAGTACCAGAAACACATGTTCCATAGAATACAAGATTTAAACTCCCTAATCCAGTACCAAACCCTCTCTTCAAGTTTCAAAGCTAGAACCGATTGCTTTACAGGAAGAAGCCATCGGTTGAAAACTTTTTTAACAAAAAAACAAGAGGTATATTTATTGCAGAAGTTGTAAAAATTGTAAACAGACATTTTGGAAATAAAAAACTTAATTCCAAAATTTCTGTTTACAATATTTACAACTCACGCTATAAATATACCTTGAGATGTGATGGCTCAAGGGATAGAGAGTTCGCCTCCAATGAGTTGAACCAGGTTTGAATCCCAGCGATGGCTGGTCGATACGAATTCCGCATCCGGCTTGCACCGACCACAGTACTGATGTAAAATATCCTCAGTGGTAGACGGATCATGGGTTAGTGTCCCCTTGCCGTCAGGCTAACCGGAGTAAGTTTTCGTGGCTTTCCTCTCCAGGTAACGCAAATGCGGGTTAGCTCCCTCAAAAAGTTAGTTCCACGCAAGCAAATTTCTCCCAATACTTGATCCAGGAGTTCCCTTGTTTTCTGGATCGGGTTCAAAATTACAAGGCTATGGAGTTGAGTGTCAGAAGTCATAAATTCGAAAATTGGGTCGGCTGTTCAACGACGGTTATAAAATATTAAAAAAAAAATATGCGTACCTCTTGTTTCGTGCCCCTATCTTTCTTTGTTATCGAGATTTTTAATTTTGAAATCAGTTACTCTTTCGTTTGCGAGTCCCTGTATAAATATAATCTATTCCCATTTAACAATATTTTATATTAAAGTTTTTGTTTTGTTCTTACAAGGACAAATTAAAATAAAATTCCTTAAAAGTCAGCAATTTTTATCAAAGAACAATGACTTTTAAAGGTAAATTTTGCTTGTTGAGTTTTCTCTTTCTTTTAAATTTAGTTTAAAAAATAGCGTAAACACGCAAGCAATTTTCGAAATCTGTCATCACATGAAATGACTTTCTTTGTAAATAATATGCTATTTTCTTAACTGCTGTGGGTTTGCTATAGTTTTCGGTATTACCATTGGCAACAGAAAAGCTCCTGTGTGTTGGCAAGCAGTGTGTTCCCGGATGAAGTCCTGTCTTGCCAACACTCAATCTTATAAATTGTTTTGTTTTCTGCTAGATTAGTATTTCTGACTTTTTAAATTAAAATAAAAGCAAATATGATTTTAGCTGCTTTAAACTCTTTCTCATTTTGATTTATTATTTTAAATGTTATTTACTTATATAGTCTTTTTCTGAATTTGTAAATCAGTTTCATTCTTTGATTAGTGGGTTTGCAATAGTAATTTATAGTCCTTAGAACGAGTTAAGCCTATCTTTGAGCAACGCTTTCTATGCTAGTTTTGATAATCACGCAAAATATCAATATAGTGAAAAGCCACAGTTTTGTGAAAATAAAAAGTGTCTGTGAATCCATTTTTTAATATTTAAAAAGTTTCGGTTCATAAAAATTAGCAATGGACAATTTTCATCAAAGTGGGAAAATCTCGCAAAATTGGCAATTTTTAAAAAAAGTTTAAAAATATTAAAGTTATTTGTCCGTTCAATTGGCCAAATAACTCTTTACGGGGAAAAAAGTATGTTTAACTTAGAATTATAGCTTTGCCTCAAGGGTAAGTCACCTTAACTGTCCGTTTTATTTTCAGTATCAAAAGAGCTTCGTGAAGCTCAGTTAAATTTGAACCAAATATGAAAATGGCTATTGATTCGTCCGATTTTATTAAATGGTGATTATACATTATTACTATTTAATGAAATGTGATAAATTGCATAATTTTATATTTCTCAACATTATGAGCAAATTTGCAGAATTTCAAAGTCTGCAACAATAAACGCTTAAAAGAAACTACAAATTCTGATTTCGTTATAGTTTCATTTCCAAGAGAATCCTGTATAACAAATATTTAACAACCTTATCTGAAATTATAATTATTTTAATAACAGAAAACAAAGAAAATTGTGCGTAATTCAAAATTGACGTAATTTGCAAAATTGACGCAATTTGTCAAATTAGCACAAAAAAGTGCATTTGACCACAATGATCAATCACAGCTCTATCAAAGCTCTCCGGTTAAATTATCACTAACACTAGAGCCTCTGCATAGTTACAGAATTAAGATATACTCCGTTTACGTAGCTCCAATAATGATGGTAGCCAACTTTGACAAAATAACTTTTTTTCGATAGGAAATGAAACCTAGAAGTTACTGGATTGTAGAGTGCGCAAAAAAAAATAATTTGAGGAAGTGACCTTAAATATGCTAATTAGTTGGTGCAGACGATATTTTAAGTTAATAAATCAGACACGAAGCGCACTTCCTCTAATAACAGCATACATTTTTTTCGCCGGATTTGGTTTTTTACCCTTAAAATATAGGGGTAACCACAATCTGAAAAATATGATCCCCATAGCTTGAGCGATAAAAGACTCCTTATTGTAAATGTTACTTTTAGCGTATTTCGATATATCTCAAGAACACTAAACATACCAACATTTACTGTATACCTACTTCTACCATAGCCTGTCAAATGACAGGTTTTCTTGATTGAATGTAAGAAATATGGATGTTAGGAAGGAATGAAACTAAAAAAAAAACATTTTTTAAATTAAACAAAATTGTATATTGCCAATTTTTATTGTATTTTGAACACAAAGAATAAGAATTTTTAATTCATTGCTCAACGCATTTTTTGCATATACAGGGTGTTTCCATTGTACATTTTCAGCAAACATATTTCTTCTAATTATTATTATTTCTATAATTCTTATAATTATTCTTATAATTATACGAATATATAAGAATTATAAGAATTATAATTTTTATAATTATTCTTATAATTATACGAATATATAAGAATTATAAGAATTATAATTTTTATAATTATTCTTATAATTATACGAATATATAAGAATTATAATTTTTATAATTATTCTTATAATTATACGAATATATAAGAATTATAAGAATTATAATTTTTATAATTATTCTTATAATTAATATAATTTCTTCTATGAACTTGTACTCTCTTGATTTTTTTGACATTTTCCTAGGTAGAAACTAACACTTAGTTAGAAATGAAGTAAAGCTATCAAAATAAAATATAAGCTACTCACCGAAACATTTAGTTTTTGTCACTTTTTCTTACACAAATATGCCAATCTAATATTTTTGGTACTTTCTTGAAATTTGAATACACAGTTATTCTGATTGAACTAATTACGCAACAGTCTTTGTATAAATGTGCAACTAATCGAATGCAATACGTGAACACGCATTACATCATAATTTCTGATCCGATAACCTTATAAAGCAATAAATTGTTCTCCCGTTCAAATGACCAGTTGTAGTAGAAATAGGTATACGACAAGTGTTATTCGACACAAACAAAATACAAAAAAAGATTATAATAGAATATTAATTATACATAATTGTTAGAAAAAGTCATGAGGTTAAATGCGCAAAAACGATAAGATCAGAAGCGCATTTTTGATGCAAAAGTTTTTAAACGATCATATGGCCGGTTATGGTATGTTCAGTGTTAAACAAGTTGAAAAACTTTAATACGCAATTAGGAAATTCGTTTATAAAAAGATTCCGATTCCAAGCAAAAAATTATTTTTAATATTCAAATCATGCGAAATCGTTCGAATAGAACCTGAGAATTCAAATTTTAAATGCACGACTTCTTTAAAATTTGATTACCTAGGACTTATTCGACCACTTTCGAGCAAAATTTGTATAATGCCATATAAAATTGCATTTTATAAAATGATGTAAAAAAATTAACCATCTCCACATTTTTTGACTATTATTAAATAAAATAGTAGAAGATAATAAATATTTTCTAAAAGTTATATTTTGCATGAAATTATTTTTGGATAAACGAATTTTATAATTATTTTCAAAAATTTTTCAATTCGCTTAAAAGTTCTCGAGATATAGCGAAATACGCAAAAAGTAAAATTAACATTGAGGGATCCAAACTTTAGAGAACGCTCCTGACCAAACTACAGGGACCAAATTTCCCAGATTGCCTCTATGTTTTGGGGATTAGATGTCCGAATGGTATGTTTATTCAGAGAAAATACGTTTTTGTGTCTGATTGCATAACTGAAAACATCGTCTGCACTTACTAATTAGCATATATGAACCTCGAACCATGAGTCACCCCCTCGAGCCATGAAGATTGAGTCCTAGTCCTAGAAAGTTATTCAGGGTGGTCCGTTTATTTATTTTATTTTATTTATTTTACTTATTCATTTTATTTATTAATTTTTCGGCACACTGTACACCCTGAATATAAAGTAGTTCCCAAATTCATGCCTTAACATTTAATTTAAAATTACTTTTACCACCATGACATTTAAATAATTTATGTTTTCTGTACAGATTCGGATTGTAAAAATCATTTACACTTAGACGTTATTTCCCTTCAACTTTAAATAATGCAGAGAGTTAAAAATGCCAAATTTGATGCCTAGCATACGCTGTTTGTGTCAGCTGTTCATCCATAATGAATTAAAAAGAAAGCGAATTAAAATTATACAATATCCAATGATTCTTGATTAGCATGTTGTGATATTTTAAAGTGCTGGAGGATCATTTACTTGCTTAAACATTATTTTACTATCACACTAAACTTTGTGAAGAGTTAAAGAATGCCGAGTTAGCAGCTTAGCATATACTATTTATATTAGCTGTTCATCAACAGTGATTTTAAAAAAATGCATTAAATGATAGAATATCACCTCAGGCCCCAGTTGAGGTAAAGCACCCGTCCATATAGCTCCAATACTGACTGTTGCCAACATTCCCAAGATGGCTTCTTTTCTATTGGACATGAAACCTGGAAATTATAAGATAATGCTTCAAACACAATTTTACTAATGTAACTAAAAGGATATACAGTAAGTGCATCGTAGAAAAAGACAAGAAAACCAAAACTATTGAATTTTTACGTGCAACTACCTCCTTAGTTCTCAAACCTAAGACATAATAATTATTTACCACTAACTTTTCTTCAGTTACATGTCCGAAACAGAAGCTTTCGCAAAAAAAAAATGCTTCGTAAATTTTCTTTTTATGGGGCTCCCCACAAAGTGCAGAAACAATTAACAAATAACAACATTAACAGCAGCAGTTAATTCTGATTTCAATTTATATTTATTTTATGTGCAGTACATATTCCCTACTTATGCAATGTACTTTTCTATTTAATTAAAATTAACACTATAATAACTATTTTCGATGAGTTTTCAGATTATATTAAATAGTAAATTTAAAGGGAAAACTGTTGGCGGTGTATACGTTACATTTTTTGGACAATCCTATATTTCACGTGTAAGAAAATGGCACTTAATTGCAGAAATATTTCATAAAAAACATAAAGAAAATAGATAAATACTTCTAAATACTAAATATGGAAAAAATTAAATGGATAAAGAAAATAGAAAATATGTTGGATTATTTTTGGATATTAAATGACACTTAATCTATTTTTCGTTAAAATAATAACACAGTCTCTTTGGACACGCATTAAAACGATGATTTTTTTTTCTTAAAATCTTTTACACAGTCAAATGTAATTTATCCATCGTTGCCATAGGATTTTAAAAAGTAAACGTCCTATTTAAACTTAATATATTCTTATTTTTATTTATAAACATCTATATACACGATTTAAATAAAATTTCGTCTTGCATTGGCTCAGTTAGCATCATAATAGATCCAATCAGGATCTTTTTGGTTATAAAAATATTTGTTTTAGGTAATTATAGAAAACTTTTGCAATATAAATTATGTCAATCTTTGTCACTTGACAGAATTATAAATTTACTCCAAAACTTTTATTGTGAATTAAATTTTAATTTAATTGTTTTTAGAACTTACAGTTTAAATCTGTGTTATGCATCCACTTTTTGAAAACTGCCCTATAGAGAGATACGGGTTCTTCACTTTTAAAATCTGTAGAGTATAAAGAATCGTGAAAGCCTACTAGCGTAGAGAATTGTTAAAAATTTGTAAACATGGTTGAAATGTAATTTTTCTATAACTAAATAAGCCAATTATAACATTTTCCCATACAAAAAACATATATTTAAATATTCTTAAGCGTACAATTTTTAATGATGATTCAATTTTTCTAATGATCGAAACTGTTCCGAATAATAAACTAAGCATATATTCCATATGTTGATAAACTACATGAGGTTTAGAACGCTAAAACTCAAAATTAAAATAATATAATAAAGCAATTTAACAATAAAACTTGAAAAAAATCTTATAATCTATTAAAGTTGTTATTTCTAAGTAACTATAGACCAGATTTATTTCAAATTTCGGGTTCAGCAAATGCAATTATGTCGTTTAACACGAAGTAAAAATATATATTTAGCTTAGAATTCAAAAATATTTCAGTCATTGGATTAAATATTAATTTATCAGTAATAACACTAAACTCCTGACTGAGGATTTTAATTATTATTAACATCATTTATATTACCTAAGTATTTCTGTAAACTACTTCTGAAATTTTGTGCAACAGTTAAGAATCGAATCAAAGAGGTATTCTTTCACATGAACTAAAACTAAACTTAGTGGTGCGACAGCCCATTGAGGGCCCAAGGCCTACTGTGCCCATCTCAGTTTTCTTGACCTCTGGGGCGCAGATGTTCCGGTTAGTTGGTCAGCCGAACGCGGAACCCCCAGTGTTTAGTTCCCAAGCATGCCTGATACTCATTTATCGACCCACTGAAGGGATGAAAGGCTGAGTCAACCTTGCCCGGCCCGAGGATCGAACCCAGGACCTGTGGCACGAGCGCGCGAAGCACAACCACTCAGCCAGCGGGCGTCTTTCAGATGAGCTACATTTTTATTTTTAATTCGTAATTTCTTCTTTTTAAAAAGTATTTATTATCCTATCTTAGACTTATCCTATCCTAGATTTTAAAATGCGAAATTGAATCTTGGAGCTTTCTTTTTTAATTTAATATTATTATTTGCATTTTTCATCAAGAAAATCAATAGTTCAATTAAACATGAGTATTTCAGAAAGTTGATTACCTACACATTACAATATCTCCCTTTCGAAGGCCAAACTTTCTGAAAGCAGCAACATATAATTTTGTTTCTTCATACAACTGAGAATAGGTTAGCTTCTCAACTTCTCGATCTTCTCCTGAAAATCAACAGTAAAACATTTAAAAGATAACTTCACTTGATAATAAAGAGTAAAAGGAAGATATATTAGATGTCTGTTTGTATTCCTGAGGTGTTGAGGGCATCACTCAAAGTTTAAACCCGAGTATAACGTTCATTTAGAATGTGAAGAAAAAGTTTAATCGGTTCTGTTATTCTGGAACGAGGCTGAACTACATCGTAACTTTGAGTCTTTTAAAAAAGCTAATTCTGATAATATTCACTAAAACCTTTTAATCAATTGTCATTTTGACAATTGTTAAAAGTACGCACCGATCACAGTGCAGACGTAATATACCCTCAGTGGTAGACGGAACATGGGTTAGAGACCCTTTGTCGCCCATCTAACTGTGGGTCGAGATTTTTCTCTCCATGTAAGGCAAATGCAAGTTAGTTCCATCGAAAAGTCCTCCACGAAGGCAAATATCTCCCGATAATTGATCCAGCAGTTCCCTTGTCATCTAGATTGAGTTCAAAATTACAAAGCTATACAGTTGAACATTGGTAGCCGCAAACTCAAAATTGGGTCGGCTGTTATAAAATTCTTGAAAGTTACATGATTTCAAAAGAACGAATTAAACTCATGTGTTATAAAGAATTAATTATCATTTCACATTTCTCATTATATTTTCCGATAGCAGATTTTATTTAATTTCTTTATCGGAATTTTATTGAGACTGATTGTGATCTGTCTGCCTCGTTAATTTAAATAATACAGAAAACAAATGAATTGTTCTGAATTTCATGAACTCTATGAAATAAATAAGCATAAAATAATGAATATAAAAATGAATACAACGATAACTTGTATCAAAATTTTCACAATTTATGTAGAAAAGCGATAGTTGTAGTTCAAAATTGATTTTTTATAAAAATTACTATTGTTTTGCAATAGACTTTAGCAAAAAATGATGAATTTAAAGGGAGTTAAATAAAATAAGTGTCAATAATTTAAATCAAATGTCTAAAAGCTGTGATTTAAATTGTAATTTCAACGACTTGATTTTAAAGAAAAACTTTCCCTAGCTCTTATTTATAATGATTTTCAAGATTTTTTTTAAAACTTAACGCAGCAGCCTTTTCATAAATATATTTAAAATACTTATCAGAATATATACAGAAGATACATGCATTATTTACCAGAGTTGGTCGTCGATTACAGTAATCGATTACAACTGTAATTGATTACAGATAATAACAGCTATGTAATCAATTACTTGTAATCACGATTATAAGTAATCATGATTACAAGCAATCAAAATTTTTGATTACATCAGAGTAGAGCAAAAATGTAATCGATAACATTTTTCAATTACAGTAATCAATTACTTATAATTATGATTAAAGAGTCTGATTACAGCTGTAATCATGATTACATAGTCGATTACAATAATCAATTACTTGTAATCGTGATTACAACTTTCAAAAAATTTCGATTACAGCTGTAATCATGATTACAATATTGATTACAGTAATCAACTACTTGTAATCTTGATTACAGCTGTAATCAAAATTTTGATTACAACTTTAATCATGATTCCAAGTAATTTCGATTGCAAGTAATCACAACAAAAACGATTACGGGTAATTATGATTACAAGTAATCAAAATATATGATTACATGTAATCATGATTGCATGTAATTTGATTACATGTAATTGTGATTACTTGTAATCAAACTATACGATTACAAGTTATAACGATTGTATAGTATATGCAAATTCATTATGTAAGTATGTATGAGTTTACATATTTTTATGTACATAGAATGTACGCACGCTTGAACGTACAATTTGTAATTCCTATATATACAATGTATGCACAAACGCTGTTTGTACGTACCATATACATAATTATATTGTACAATATACATAATTATGTTGTAATTTTCAATATGATATGGAACTTTATCTTTTACATTTGTTTTTCTTGTCTTCTTTAAAAGATATATATATATATTTGATTTTCAAGGTAGTGTTTTTAAATATTCTGAATCAATATCTCAAAATCAGTTCATTATTATTATTTGTTAGCAATCAATATTATTTATATAATTTTATGCAAGAAGCAAGGAAATATACATGTCTTTGAAATTATATTTTTTGCAGCATTGTAAAAGTACAGTATATTTTAATTTGTGACTGTAGAGCAAGATCATGCATGTTTATCGGATGTATTGATTAGTTACGTTACTTGTAACATATTAACCATCGTTTGTACAAAATGTTATTCATATATGCCCAGTAGTTCAGGAAATAATTGACCGAATTTAAATTTCTTTTAATCAAAAACATTAGTGCATTTTGTGCGGAGTGGAAAAGTGAAGTTAAAAAGGTATACTTTACCTATGTATTGATCTTAGGTTATGAAAAACAATTTAACAAGGGTAGCGCATGGCTTGGGAAATTAATTTCGGGATGAAACTTGACATATACCTAAATGGTTGACATATACCTCTAGAATACAATAAAGCGTGGTGGCCAGTCGATTCCGAGAAAAACTCATTTGAAAATTCAGGCACACTTTATATATACTAGGCAATTTTCTACTCCACAAACGGCAGTCAGTGGTAAAGTAATTACTACACTCCTAATTCAATTCGCCTTGTGGATCTATTTTATTTTATTTTTATTATTTACTTTTTTTACTTTTTAATAAAGAATATTTCTGTTTACAAAAAGTACTAATTTTAATATAAAATTATTCATAATATTTATTGTACTTTGTTTTTTACTTATTAGACATATTACTTATGATTTAAACGGCAATAATTGAATCTTTCAGTAAAATAATAATGTTTAAATAATATTTCCTTACAGCAATGAAAAAGTTAGATATAAAATGGTTTTTCAAAATTTTACACGTTTCATTGCCTTCATGACGTTTATTCCTAAAAGCATGTCAAAAATCTTGAAAAGCGTTAACAGAATTATGTATATTTAATCAAACAAAATCAAGAAATAAATTCTCCGGTGACTGTACATAAAAAAAAGCAATTGTTCAGCTTCATTTTTGTTTATTAAATGATAAGATGTAATAAGAATCTTATCTTATTATTTAATAAAATGATAAGATTAGATTTTGCAACCAAACTTCTTTTGATTATATAATATTGAAACGCTTTTAAAGGACAATTGATAGTTGAATCTTTTTGATTGTTAATGAAGTATGTATTTCAAGAATCACTTCAAAAATGTTGTTGACATACATTAACATTGGCTACATAACTCATTTGATCATCGACCACCCCAAAAATTTTAGAATTCTCTTATTTATCTACCCTATAAAAAAATATAAAAAGAAAAAAAAATTATATCTTTCTTAAAGGATTTATTTTATTTTGACAAAATAAAATTTTTATATAAATAGATGAGAAGGATACCCTTGACTAGATCAGCAATTTGTTCGAAATTTGTTAGTTTTAGTTTTAAATCTCCTCAGAGCTCTCATTCAATTTATTTCTCTGTTTTTTTTAAAAAAAATAGAATTAGCAAGACTAAAGCCAATTTCAACCATATGCAATTAAATTGCCATTAGAATGCAATTAAAATAGAAATCCCTCATTACAAAGTTTCGGAAATTTCTGCGAAATATCTATAATCATCCAAAATGCACTCCCTGTCAAATTATTAAAGAGCATCTTTCCTTCAAGATCAACTAATAATTTAGCTACTTCGGCTTGCAAATGACTGTCAATATTTTTAACGTGATTGGAAAATTTATTATTTAAAATTAATTTTTTTTTTTTTTAGATTGATGAATAATTATTTTTAAAAAAAAATGCTGTAATAAGAAATTAAATAAGGTATAATCTGTTATAAAAATTTACTTACTATATTGATATTACAGATGGTATGCCAAACGAAAATTGAATATACTACTTCGTTGTCAATAAATTTGTAAATGAACAGCATTCATTCATCGACCTCTAATCAACCCCATATATTGGATCAACCCTTTTCTGACTCTTGATATTCCAGATGATAACCTAAACATCATACCCAACCCCATATACCCAAACATCTCTTATTGATTGGACATGATGCCAACCAATTTTTATTCACTTTTTGCGATAATTATCATCTATATTAGTCTCTATGAAAAATGTGCAATTAAAATTTATTTTTTAAACCTTTTTGTCGCTATAAGCATTTTTTATAAATACTAATACCATTATTATTTTATTGAAAAGCTACATTATTACAGTATTTTAAACATCAAGCAAATGAAATAAAATAATTTATATTTAAGTTGTTACTATTTGGAAACAGAAAAAAACAATCTTTATTGAAAAAGGGAAGAAAAAAGGAAACAATGATCGGAAGCGCGAATTGAATCCCAAAGTCTTACTGTCTGGTAAGTAGTTTACTACTAGGCCAATACACCGTGTGGTAATGTTGTCACACACATCCGCAATCGAATCGGGACTTTCCCTCTTCCTACTCGAGATATTTCACTTTAGATTCCTCACCAGCTAGTTTTGTTTTAAGTGGCAACTCCTGTGTTCTAAATTAATGTTGTTAATTATAAATGCTTGTTATCTTGTATTAATTATATCGTGCTTGTTAAATATAAGAGTGTCTTCTTCTAAAACCCCACTCACAAGGAACAACACACACACACACGATACTAAATAAATGTAAAATATCTTCGCTTCACTTTCAAAACGAAACTGATTTGGATTAAGGTTGCAAGTATCTGAAGATGGGTAATATAATTTTCGTTCTTAAAAACCTCTCCAGATAGGACAATTCATTTCTTTTTCCAAATGGAAGACATCGTCTCTCAACTAATAGAACAGAATAAGCTGTTAATGTAGACACTGCAGCCGAAAGAAGAAACTAAAACCAAAAATAACGCAACAGGTATAAGTTTTGAGAAATTCGCTGATTCTCAAGAAATTTGTTTTTTATCTTGTATTTTTAGTGTTTTGTGACTTTTTTGGACATACAAAACGTTGCAGGTAAAAAAAAAGAGTAAAAACTTCGACTTCCAATTTATCAGCTAATTTGAATAGTTTGTTAAAAAAAATTTTGGCACCCAACAATTCAGTTCAAGCTGATTTTGAAACCCTAAAAGGCACTCATAAAGATTATCTTCACCCAAAGGCATTATTTATTCCAAGCTTATTTAATTTATATATTTTCTTCGTATTACTTTATTTTATTTTTCTTAATCAAAAGTATTAATGCTTATTTAGCTGAACATCATTCATTGGTAACATTCAATTATTAACAAGAACTGCCAAACACAATTCTGCCTTAACGATCGTGCCAGAACATTAGACAGGCGTTTCAAAAAAAGTGATCTTGAGTAAAATTGCTTTTATCATGGAAAAGGCTAGCAAGGGCACCCAAGAACTTAATGGGCAGCCTGCAGATGTGAAAAAATTTAAGGCTAACAGGAAAAAAGAACTGAAACAGTTCATGTCTAACAAACAGAAAGTTAAAAATAACTCTGTTATCGTTGTAGGAGGTGTGATCATTCCTCAAAATAATGTGAATTTTAATCTGCAACAATGTTACTAATGTCATAAAGTAGGGCATTTTTCAAAAGCAAGTTTTTCTGCCATGTAAACAAAATAAGCATATTAAACAAAATCAAATTGATGCTGAATACTATTTTTGATAGAGAATTGTTATATGAAATTCCTTTAGACTGAACTGCAAAAAATTAAGAGTACTGTTAATATTAGTGCTAATAATAAGCCCTCAAAACTTCTAAAAGAATTTCAAAGTGTTTTTACTGATAAAATGGAAGAAATTAAAAATTATGAGTGTAAACTTGAATTAAAAGAAGATGCAAATCTAATTTTTTGCTCCGAATATTCGTTCGAGGCAATGGCAGAAAGCCAGCACTTTGACTTGTGTCACTTTCAAACCAGCCAGCAACGGACAAGCAGAGCTCTATGTACGCACATCAAGCTTGGCTTGACCCTGTCACGCCCCCTAGGAATACTAAAGACCGTCAATTGCGGCAACCCTCGAATCAGTCGGAGGACCCAGCGGTGCATGGACGCGAGGATTCATGGCCCCGAGTCACACACGACATGGAGCAACACAATCTTCGATGAGCAGAGGAGGCCGAATGGGACGAACCCGAGTCGGTGCTGCGGTGCCATACTCAGCTACAGACGACTCCCTAGGAGCGTGGCACCGAGAGACAGCCGCCACGCCACGACCCCTCGAGGCATCCGCTGACTATGTACACACATTAAAGCAAACTCTCCGTGTCAAGCAGAACTTTGCAGAAAATATCTAGCAAAAGGTTAGTACATTCCTATGCAATATTGCAAGGTTCGTAATATGAAAACCATGATTAGCCCGGCTATGCTTCTTCTCCAGAGAGACATTAGACTTAAAATAGACGATGTTCCTCCTAAAATAGAAAAGATCTTGTCGATGACAAGAAAAATATGAGAAAAAAAACCCATGTACCATCCAAGATCATGTTTTTCACGAAGGTGATAATGTAGCTATTTGAGTCTATCGTTTATTCAACTCAAGGTGAAAATTTGGAACTGTAATCAGCAAAAATAGAGCTCTTCATTGCACAGTTCATGTGCAAGGTACATTTTATAGAAATCGCGTGGACCAAATGTGACCAACTGGAGACCAGATCTCGGAAAAGACTATTCACGTTCCACAAATAAATTTAACCAGTAAAACTCCACGCATCAGCTCTGCTAATATTTCTCTTACTGCCTCTGATCTTGATAGAGACATCCAAGAACACTCTGGGCTAGGCAAATTAACACAGGAAACTCGTCAATCAACTCCAACTAAAAAACCAAGTTCAGCTGATTCGCCGAGAAGTACTTCATCTTCAACTTCTCAACAAATTCCATTTCAACTGAGGATACTTTAAATGATTAGAAGGCCCCTAAGAGACTTGATCTTTAGTTTTCCATTTTTGAAAAAAGGGTAGGAGATAGGTTGTATTTAGCCGTTTGAGGCTATGTTTACGAATTGTCGTCACACACATGAGCAATCGAAACAGGACTTACCCACTTCCACCTCGAAAAGTTTCACTTTAAATTTCTCACCAACTAGTGTTGCGTTGAGACGCAACTCTTGTTATCTAAATTACATTAAATGTAGTCAATGATAAATAAATCGCACTTGTTAAACATAAGAATGTTTTCTTCTAAGGCCTCACGCTAAGCAACAGCACACATTGCTAAAGAGGCGAATACTTAAATCGCTTTAGCTTAAATTTTCAAATTCATTTTTCTCCGTGGTCAGTGTTTCTATTATAAGGAATATAAGGAGATATAAAGAATATCCTAAGATATAAACTAATTCCGTCCCAAATTGATGAAATTACAAGCGTTTCTTTTGTAATAGGACAGGCTTATATTTAACCCCCGTTCTCTTGCTTAACGCATTGGATGCGAAATTAAATAAAGCTTAAAAAATTTACTACACACCTGTAAGTATTAAAGCAATGTGATCATCTCTATATTTCAATAAATTTTCGGCATAGTTGAGTTTTGCACCTTCAAACCATTTGGTTTCTGTCATCGGTAAGCTAAGATCAACAACCTAAAAATTAAGATTTCATATTTCATATTTCGTCGATAACTTCCGAGATAGAGGACAAATATATTTGCAGTTGAGTATGAAGATAGGTTAATATAATGAAAACAATATAATCATTCAAACGTTAATATCATACACCTTCTCGTGCATAACGCCTATCGGATTCCGAAGGCACGAAAAAGGGGTCATTGAATAGAGAAAAAATGAGTTAATTAACACTCAATGATATACATGCCCAGCAGAGTTATCCAGAAAATTAAACTTTTTAGATATTTTTGTGACAATTACTTCTTGTCGTTCAGAAACGAGTTGCAATTGCTCTTTTTTGAGCATCCCAGACTTGCTTTATAAGATTTATGAGTAGAAACCTAGCTCTATATAACCATACAGAGCAGTGGTTCCAAAACATATTTTGACTCATTCCCATTCTTACTATTGCTAGTAGCTCAGCTCAAAATCCAAAACACAACTATACTTTATTTATACAGATGTATTTTTTTTCCTAATACATTTAAATATGTTAACTACAAAGCATAAAAAAATTTTGATTGTAGTTTTTTTTCATCGTATAACTATTTATTATGCAGAATAAATTAAAAATGCATTTAGCCATTTTTTGTTCAAAGCGATACCAGTAATTGTTTTTTCTTTACTAATTTTCGGATGCATACAGAAATGCTGAGAACGTCATTGAACTTTCAACATTCAAGACTTGAAAAGTCTGGCTTAATAAAACAAATAGAAATAGTACCATGATAGCGTTTTCTGCAACTCTTAGATAGCTTTTCTGCAACAATAGCTCTTCTCCAACTCTCCTGCAACAATAAGAGTTGCACATTGCAGACCAAACTTTTGTGACTTTATTCTGTTCAAATATGTACTTAGCTTAAATATTAATTTCAAGTACAGGAAATTCCTTTTGAAAATATGTTAAACTTTTCCCGCAAGCAAAAAAAAAAATCTTGATGGATTTTGAATCTAACTCCTCGCTAAAAAATTACAGGAAAGTTTTTTCCTAAATTACATTTTCTAAGGATGCAGGATTTGCTGCAGGAAGTTATTGTAATTAAACTGGTCTCATTTCGAGCTTGAAACTGTGTTATTCTCCCTTAGAGGGAATTACACCCTAGCTGGGAACCACTATTATAGAGTATCTACTCACAACGCCATACATGGCCTGGAATTAGTGTTGCTAAACGAGAAGGACCCATGGCTAAAAGAATACCTAAATCGTCCTCTTTTCTGCACGAAATGACAGCCAGCTCATAGTTGGAAAGTAACTTTGAAGGAACTAAACATCTAATTAATCGATATTTTTGTTCGATTTTGTAAACGTTGTTTTACATTTTCCAACTCCGATGGATGTCACGTACGGGTATATGCGTGTACATTATAACTGATGAGTGGTTATTTTATTAGTATCATATCATCCTATCTTCATACCAAATTTCATTTAAATCAGTTCTCTAGCTCTGATTGGAGTAATCAATGAAAGATTTTTTTTTAAATTTTGAGCACGAGTGTAATAAAAAAAGAACAAAAAGGAACGATAGACCTCTCATTTGATCAAAAGGAAATTTTTTCTCAATCAAGGCCTCAAACTGATTTATTGAATAAACTATTGGATCTATATTAAACAGATTACAATTACATACCGAAGTTGCACATAATATTCGATAAAATCACAAAACCAGAAAATCTAACGTTATTTTGTTATTTTGCACAACTTTTCGAGTGTTAGGAAGATATAAAAGGTCGCTGTCCTTCCTGCGGTACATAAGGTTAGATTGATTAAAATATATATATATATATATATATATTGCATCTGTTTTGATGCTAGATAATATTAGATTTCATATTTTCTGTTTATTTTGGATTATTTATTTTATATAATTTCTTTAATATTATATTTTGTATTTTCTGTTAGATTTTGGAATCAACAAGGGGAAGATTTGAATGGTATTAGAATAATTCGGGGATAAAATTTCACTAAATTTTGTTTATTGTTGTGAAGTGGTAAAATATGGAACAGTAGTTTTATAAAATCATTCCACTCATTATTTACTTAGAAATAATAAATAAAAGTATATAACTAAATTCTGATACCATCCACTTTCCTTCCTCTTACACCAAATTGTATTTTGTGCCAAGCTGATTTTTATTAATGAAAAGTTCAAATTTAATTAAAAAATAACACCTCAGTAACTAAACTTTTTTTGATATTTGTTCTTTTTTTTCTTCGTACAAAGAATTTTATATCTATATAATTTTATATAATAAATAAAATTTTTATCATTAATCATTTTTAATGTTTATTTTTATTTTTATTTTTTAAAAAAGAGCCAATATTATCAAAACTTCAATTAAACTTGCTAGTTTATAAGGCATATATATTTTAAATTCACTATATATATATTGTATATTTCACTATATATATTTCACAGGCATATATATTTTAATTTTCCTTACTTTCAATTTACTCTAATCATTTGTAATTTCACAATTATCATACATTTCTCACATTATGAAATTGTCTAATAAAAACCATACTATATAGTTGCAAAGTAATATTTTCATTTAACTTGAGTGGAAATTTTAACTTCAGAAAAATCTTTTTCTTACTACATTTTAAAATATAGCTATGTATCGCTATTTATTTCCATAAAATAAAACTCTTGTTCAAGATTAAAATAAAATTATTGTTTGAATTTGTTTGAAACTGAATTTGAATATTGAATTGTCATTTTCAGAATTGTCATTTTTTGTAATAATCGTGGTAATAAAGAAAATAATTTAAACCTAACCAAATTGTATACTTACTTCCATAAATTTTTTCCACTTCTCTATGTATTGAAATGAAATGAATACATGACTTAACTTACATAACTTAATTTTTTAAGTATCTGAACTTTTATCAAACGAATAACATGAAAAATCCCAAAGACACCCATAGAAATTTTTGCAACGGATGAAGCCAAGAAAGTATCAAATATTTTAAAAATTGTCCCCAATTTTTTATTTTGCAAAAATAATTTTAAGAGGACGCCATACCATGGGAGAACCTTTTCGTCACAAATTCTCTTCACCTTCCTTACAAATTTAAAATTTAATAGAAAAAAGGTGAGTTCAGGCAAACCTAGAGTAAGCCATGAAGTTTCAATCGCTGAAAAAAAAATATCAAAATGCAAACAAATGTCTGGATTATTGCAAGAAATAAATGTTATTTTATTAGCATTATTTTATTCTTGCGCTTAACTAACAGAACGCAGTTTCACATACATTTCCTAAAGTACCTTCGAGAAAAAAGTGCAAGCATTACGTTTTTATAGAATATAATAAAATAAAATTATGAATAAAAAGAAGCATCAGATTATTTAAATGCCTCGTTTTATGAACTGGTGAAAGGTTAAATTTTCGAAAGAGAGTAACAGTAGAGATATGTGAAAAACGCATTGTAATTACAAATAGAATTTATATCATTTACAAACTTAATCAAAGGAAATTTATTAAAGAAATCTTTACTAGTATATATTTATGATAATTTTCTGACATATGGTTTTATTAACAATATTAAACGATAATAAATACCTTTGAAGTGTTAAGTGAACTGCGTGATTTAAAATGGCAGTTTTAAGAATCCTCGTAATCTAATAACCTGTTGATAAAAGTGCATCCAGTTTAACCGTAAAAATTCGATAGTTAAGTTAAAAAGTGTTCCGCTTTTTATTTTACACTAAACAAATTATATCATTCTCATATTTAATAAACTTATTTGAAGTAGGTTCTTAATTCAAAAATGAAAAAAAAAAACCTTTTCATATTTCTTTGAGCAGATGATTCCTGAATTTTCCCACAATTCTGTCCAAGTTTCTTCGATATTATCGACAGTCCATTGATGGAAATCCCAATAATCTCCTGAAAAAGACACATTCTTAATAAAAATATTCAGACTAACCTGCTTCGAAAACCTCCTGTTTTATGCTGTAGGAAATAACTTTCGGAACGCTTTTCAATTCAGATGCCTTCGATATCCTCATATCTTGTTTCTTACGGTTTAAGAAACAAGAAAAAATCTAAGACGTATTGAATGCTATCTTCTCCTGTGGCTGTGATCGGACGTACGTGTATTGCATGCAGTGAAACTTTTCCTTTACATGTAGTTCCTAAACATTCGCAAACGCACTTAGGGTTATCGGATATAGTGTGAATGGCCCCCAAGATTAAACCACTATACAACTTAATGCTGGCTTCTGCACTAGTTATGGATCCGGTGAAAGAACTCTGGTTGGGAGCTTACGCTACGATTTCTTAGTCGAATTCGGACACGAACGTGAGACTAAAATCACGCCAGTTGAGCAAATTCCCAATTCTCCATAAACCAAGTTTTTCAATAGAAAAATGGCATACCTACCAACTTCTCCCATTTTAACGGAAAAAATTTTCTGAATATTTAAAATGATAGTTAAATTTATGCTTTACCACTTTATTTTTTACTTAATAAATTTCATTTTCTATGGTTTTGACCATCACAATATATAAACAATTCGAAAGAATGTAAAGAACCTGAAAATCGTTGAAGAAAATTAAGTGCTGAAAAAATGAAGCAAATTTACCTTAATTGTTATTTTGCTACCACTCTAAATATTGTATAATATTTAGGATTCCCGGGTTGGCATCAATGGTATATGATTATTTTGTGCGATCTCATTGCGTTGCTTGTTAAGTGGTTTTTAATCCAGTCGAGAAAAGAAATCGTGATCCTCCATATTTGCCAGACATAGCACAAACGGGTATTTTAATGCTTCCAAGACTAAAGATTTGAAGGCAAGAACAAGCTTTGAGGAGACTTGAAGATTATCCCGAACGATAACAGTCGAGCATTATTTACAAAACTGTATTATCGCAACTTACTTCGAAACATATTCTATTAATATGTAATTTATATGGTAATTTATGAAGTTCTAGATCAATCTCTGAAATTGTTTGCGTAGTATTAATAACCATCATATGAGGGAAGGGATCAACTAAGTGAATATTATTTGAAATCATTATAGGCTCAAATTATTCAACAGGTTATTTCTTATTTTTATAATCTTTAAAAAAATTTTAAAATCCGGATTGGCATACCCATGATTTAAATTCTGACTGTTTTTAACTACGGTTTAAAATATCCAATGAAAAATCTGCTCTCAAATATTTCTTTTATAGTATAAAAATTATTACTGTCATCTTTAAATTACAGTTCCAATAATGCGTCAATCAATATCAAAAGAGATAATTTGCCGATTTCAAAAATAACTATCAAATATTATCCATGGTTTGAAACTTCAGGTCACAAATCCTTTGTCAAATAACTCAAAAAAACATTTATTTTGTCCTCTGTATGATATTTTGCAACAATTCTTTTTCACTTAACTTATTTTTTTTCATATATTTTATTTTAATTCATTGCAAGCAGATTATACACAGTTTTGCTCATACTGAATAATTTCAATTTTTTTTTTTAAAACCTTTGAATTAAATTTATAAAATTGTTACCTTTAGTTAGTTTCACAAGTCTTGTCAAATGATACAGGAATTTTGGAGTTGATATTTAAAGAATATAATACTTACAATAAAAGTAGTTACAGATAATGAACGAAATTGGGATTATTTTGTGCAAGATATTTTATTAAAAAATAAATTCGTTATTGAAAAAAAAATTTATAAATAACAAATTAACGTAAATATTTATTCTACTCTTTATTTCTTTGTTTTATCGCTTTAAATTAAAAATCAATACATGAAAGTAGTAACACATTTCAAGAACAAAAAAATCGGTAACACCTGTTGTGTGACCTAAATTCAATAAAATCATAATAATCCAATCAATGGTTACATACCAAACTTCCTTTGGTATTTATCTTCGATACATTTCATAAAGGTCCTGATATTTTTACCAGATTTTCCATCCGGCTTCCAGACTTGAGGAACAGATGAGAAATCTCGACTGTCAGAACTCATCTACAAACATTTCAAAGAGAAAAAAAAATAATGTTTAATTTAAATAAAGAACGTTCATTATACATCCACTGTACTAACTTTTGAGAGGCTGTAACTATAATTTAAAAGTGATGTCTAGATATAGTAAATTGGCTATGTGTATCTACAGGAGATCATTCACAGTGCCACCTAGTAAAAAACACTAGAATTTGCATTTTTATCTCATACGCTGTACGAGATAATGGAAAATTTAAATTTATAGTAATATAGGATCATTAATTTTGTGCAAATAGGCACGATGTGGAATATGATCTAATTGCAATCACATTAAGTTTAAACTTAGTTGTCATACTCCTTTTATTGCAATTCAGGGACATTTCAAATAATGTCATCTGTGGTTTCTTTGATTTATATTAAGAATCATCCACTTATTTAACGTATTGTCCTATATTGTGATTTGATGGAATAATTATATCTTTTCTTATCAAATCAAATGTAGTTAAAGTAAATCAGAAAATATTTATAAAAAAATTACAAGGAGAAAAAAATGTTCCCAAACACCATATAGCTGTAAAAAAATCGCAATCTGTATGTTAATTTTACACACGTTCTTCCTACTATGTAGAGTGTGCCAAAAAAAAAACGGACCACCGTGAATAACTTTTGATCTAATGCTCGGATCTTCACGTTCTAAGACTCAATCTTGATGGCTCGTAGAGGTAATTTCAAATATGATAATTAATAAGTGCTGACGATATTTTAAATTACGAAATCAGACACAGAAACGTACTTTCTCTGAAGGATCATACCTTTTTTTTCCGACGGATTCGTAGTTCTAACACCCTAAAATGTAGGTAGAAGCCCCAATCTCGGAAATATGGTCCCTGTAGTCCCAAACTTTTTGTAACTTTTAGTTAACAAAAAATAACTTTTACTAAATATTTACTACTATTTTATTTAAGAATGGTAACAATGAAATTTGAATTGTAAGGTATGCAATTTTTTGCATCATTTTAAAGAATGTAATTTTGCATGGGAAAAATGCAAAATCTGAAGGAAATCGGTCGAATAGTTCCAGAGAAATCGAATTTAAAAAATCTATTCTTTTTTGGAGCAGCGTACAATATGTAAGAGTCTTTTACTTCAGACCACATGAGACCAATTTACTTTTTTGAGACAATCATTGCAGGACTGTTGCATTCAATATACAACAAGTACAAACTTCTGTGTTGGTCACCATTTTCCATACATGTTCTTCTTTGATTTTTCAGACGCTGAATAATTTTTTTCAATCAGTTTGATTGAAAAATTAAACTCTATATTGCTGATTGTAAAGACTTCATTTTCCAGTAGATCACTGAAGTCAAGCGTCACTGACAGCATTCAGTGTGTTAATATTATTTATTTCTCCATATTAATTATTTCTAATACTCAATAGATGGCGCTCTGAGCAGCAATGTAAAATCAGTTAGTTTCTACACAGTTTTCCTCCATAACACTGTAACATCATCAACATCCTTCTTGTTATTAAATATATTTTATGTTAAAGGCGTTTTGTAATGAATGAAACCCCGAGATCTGAAAGATCATATCACCGTATTTAAAACAGTGAACGAGTGTATCAGCACTTTGATCAGCCTACGATGGGACCGAGAGAGTGCGGTCTTCGTACTACCGAAAATGCTCAACTTCGAGGGCAGGTTGCGGAGTCTGCAAAGGATCAAAATTGTAATGGCATGTCCTCGAATCATCCCAGATCGTCGCCAATAACTCATTGCGCAACTCTAATGCGACATAAATAAAGTACTACTACTATTAATGAAAACAAAACCAAGTTACATAAGTTCCAAAATATCATTCTCTTAAAGATAAAATACAAATTTTTTAAGAAAATAAAGGTCTAACAAAAGTTACTATATCCTCCTGAGACCTGAGCTTGAAATAATGGTAGAAAATGCGATTTTTACTTAGAAATAATTAGCTTGGAAGAAAGTTAACTCATAAATGAGATAAAAGAAATTTATTTTAAAAAGCAACTAATAAACTCTTTTTATAGTTATTTTTAATTATTACATGAAAAAAGGATAATTTTTTTAACATTGTAGAACATTTTTATAGTGTATGGTTTTACTTTTTGAGCATGAAACAAATTCCACTGGACTCAAATAATATCATATTTACACGCTCTAAGACTATCCAAAAGATTACTTAAATCAAATTTCCTACCTTTCTTTTAATTTTTCATTGTAATTGAAAATTCCAACTAACGAGAGTAATTCCAATTATACTTTTACCAAAACAATCCCTTTGTATAGGTATACAAACAGAAAAAAAAAATTTAAAACATTTTTTAATTGATAAAATTGCCCCATATACTGAATGCTGAGTCTTGGGAGGTTATTGTATTATTGTGTACAGCTTTATTATTGTATAAGTAACTGCTAAAACTTAGAAATTGTTAATGTACACATTACCTGGCTAATCTGCAGATTAACTAGAGTGCTCCATTAAAGTTAAGAATCAGGTGTTTTTCTCAATTTACCTACGTAATGTGCAAATTAACGGTCTCCGTATCGTTAAAGTTACAAAATTTGTTTCCCTCATTTTACCAAATAGAATGTTGATTGATTGATAGTAATTACTTGATTCTTTAGATATCGAAAATTATATAAATGAAATTATGATAATTTCCATAAATGTAATAATATTTTAAACCGCTTGATTCTCTATATTATAGTTTTTATTGTTTGATAGTATTGACCTGATTCTTTAGATTTCGAAAATTACATAAATAAAATTATGATATTTCCTTAAATGAAATAATATTTTAAACCGTTTGATTCTTTGTATTATAGTTTTTAAAATGATTGATTCTATCAAATAATGTGTTGATTATTTGATTGTAGTAACTTGATTTATTAGGTAGCGAAAAATAAATAAATAACATTACGTTAATTTAGACATGCAGAAACGTTGCTGTTTCAGCGAAGATCTTACTTTTCCTATAACGAGTGCCTATTGGGTAGTGTGCAGGTTATCTAGGTAATTTGTAGATTACTAAGGTAATTTTAAAAATGAAACAATTTGTTAGTTCTTTACCACCCTAGTTAATCTGCACAAAAGCTAGATAATCTGTAGAATAACTGATTTCTAGCCTCTATCGATAATATAAAGTACTCCACATTCGCATTCCGAGAGGTTGGTGATACAAAATTCTATATAATATAATGACTTATGAATTTAAACTTAATAAATAAAATAAAAGTTATTCTTGTAAAAACAAAATGTATTTTCAAATTTTATAAAAAAAATGCTCAAAAGATGTACTTACAGTGGAATAGAATGAAAAAGTACTTTGTGAAAAAATTGTCGCTATAATATTTGAAGAAAAGAATTATCTTTCATTGATTACAACTTCTCTTCAATAACAATCACTTAAAAGGAGCCAATCAACATATTAGCGAAGCTCCCTAAATAACCTTTGCATTCTTTCAGGTTAGAAAGTTCAAGTTCAGGTTAGAAAAGGAATACTTGTGTTTGTTTCCTTCAACATCGATTGAGTACGTAATCTTTAACCAATGTAGATAACAATGGTTCGAATAAAGATATTTTGATTTGTCTTAGAAGTTGATTTTGCTCTAGAGAAGAAATTTAATATGCTTATATGTACGTATATATATATATATATANATTAATGTAAAGAGAAAAGAAAAATTATTAAAATAAAATATTTTTAAGAATGTTTTTAAAAATATTCTTTAAAAAAATTTTATTTAAAAAAAATTATTGTAAAGCCGGAAAACAAAATAGTGAAAAGATATAACCTCGTCATCAGCTCACACGATTATATTCGAAAAAAAGAGTGCGTTCTAATATTGTAATAATACAACCAAAGTCTTATTATTTTTCTAAATTTTCTACGTTTTTCTCTTTTTTTTTAAGTCGTTTTGTCTTATGTTATATAATATTTTAAGAATAATAATGCATATAAGCTTCACGATCTCATTATTAATTTTTCTTTTATTAATTTGCGCTTCAGAATTCTTTGTTTCGATCCTGTAAAGGCTAAAATGAGTAAAATTTCCCCAAATAAAAGGAAAAGTTTAGATAAATTATATTTCGATATTAACTTTCAAAACCCTATTTTCGATAAGATTAAATTTCCTAATATATTTGAAAATTCAAAAAATTTTTAACCATTAAAAGATTTCAACATAGTAAAAAGCCTTAAATTTAATAAATCTCTTGGTTGAACTACTTTTAATCATAATGATATTAACAAAAATTTAGAGAAAATTAATCTATCCGATTATAAATGTTACTATGAAGAAGAGAAATATTTTGAATTTGTTTAAAAGCATCATAAACATATTACTGGTAGTTTAAATATTATAGAAAAATTAGAACTTAAGAATTTAATGATACAAAATTTTGACGCATTTAGCATACATCAATTAATAATATTCTAAAATACTTTCTTAATGATCTCACAAAATTTTGTTTAAAGACATCAAATAGATTCTCTTTACCTGTCGGTATGTCAACAGAATGGAAATGGGCTGTTTATTATTACTTTAAAAACTTTATTTTCAATAACAAGGAAAATTTAAATAACAGTAACAATTCAACCAATTTCTCAAAAATTGATCGATGAATTAAGCAACTACAAAAAAATTTCGTTATTACCTTTATAGACAAAGCTAACAATAATTATGCAATCTTCGGTAAAAATATCTTTATGTTGAACTTCAACTTTCTAAACTAAAAGATGTCCTTTCGAATTATTACTATGATTTTAAAAATATCCTTAATTGCGATTTTGATTATTGAAAATTCTAATTACTTTTTATCTTTTTAATATTTATCTTTACAATGGAAAAGATATTTTTCTTCAGATTAATGGAATATCACAAGGATCTAATTTTTCATCTCACTTAAACTAACTTATTTTTGCACTATTATGAAAAAAAATTATACACTTAATATTAAATTTGTTATTAGATTTATTGATTATTTAATTATTTTCAATTTTCAAGATCATACAATTTAATTAAATAATATTTACCCCGGGGGAATCACATCTATTATACTCTTATTATTAGATTCTTATAGATTTGAAACAGTAAAGAGTTTTACTTACTTAGAATCAGTTATTACTGTTGATAACAGAATGTCTCCTGAAGTAAAAAACCGACTTTATCTGGCAAATAGGGCTGCCTATGGGCTGAGAAGATTTATTAAATCTAGGTTTCTTTCTAGAAAAACAAAGTTCTTAATTAACAAAACTCCTGTCAGGCTAGTCTTGACATATGCGTCTGAAGCTTGGGCAGTGACCAAACTGGAGGAAAATTATATCGCAATATTCGAGGGAAAGATTTTGCGGAGTATACTTGGTGGTGTAAATGAAAACAATAACAGGAGAGTTAACTTTGTACTGTACAAGATTTGTAAACAACCCGATATTATTAAGTACATGAAAATAAATAGAATGAATTGAATAGCCTACGTGATTCGTATGAGTGATGACAATACAATGAAAAAAGAGATTACTTTTTAGACCCACAGAAACAAGAAAGGCCGCGGTAGAGATGGGCTGATACTGTGGGGGTCTGATTTTCTTGCAATTAGAAAGAAGAATTGGATATCAAAGATAAATCTGATGTTGTTATGGAGAAATCTTCAGAGAAAGGCATTGGCCCTCATTGGACTGTCTGGCCAATTTTGACGATGAATGGATGTGTGGGCAACAAAAGTCGCATTCTTTTGAAGTGTGCCATAGGATTTCAAAAATAGCGGAAGAACTTTCATTAGAAAGACATATACTGCATTATGAAAATAACTTTATAACAACCATATAAAACTTTAAGAAGGAAACCATGTTTATTTTTCACCTTTCTGTATTGATACTAGAAATAAATAAAAGTGTCTTCCATTTCGACTTTTTTTTGTATAAAATTGTATAACAGTAGAAAAATTTATTTTCCTGAAAAAAATATTTGTACTTTTAAATTCATTTCAAACATACAGTTGTTTGTAACTTTAATTTTAACATTTTGACTGTCACTTGGAAATTTTTCGTAATAGCGTAGTTTTCGCATTATGTTGTATGTGTTATATCGAGCATTTACTGTATTTATAAAACTAGCTCACCAGAGATAGTTCCTTACAGAATATAATAATAATTTTTAATAACTATTTGTTATATTTTATTATTTAATTTAACAATGATTGAATACATTTTGAATCATAAAGTAAAAGAAATTCGCACGTGATGTTAAACTACATTGTTTGAATTGGTAAAATACAAAATTCGAAATAAATGAGTTTAGTAATTTTAGAGAAAAATATTTCAAAAAAGCTGTTATTTTATTTATTAAAAATTGCGTTTTCTTAAATTGTTATTTATTTATAAATAATACATCTTTCTTTTAGTGTAATTTCATATTTCACTCAAAATACATTGTTTAAAACAAAGGGATATTGGAAGTTCAATATGAAACAACCATATAATAAACATTTTTTCTTTAAAAGAAATTAAATAGATTAGGTTTAGAAGGAAAATAATAGAGAACAAAAAGTTGATACCGAAAAGTGAGAGCTTTAGATAAGGAGTGAAAAGTGACCTATAAAGGTTATACGCACCAACAATTGAGGTTTTCGGGAATATTTTTCGTCTTGGAAGTGAACTGAAGCAGAAATTTTCAAAACAAATAGAACTTATACAATATTTTGATCAAAATTTAAAATAATTACCGTTAATCTATTTGACTTTTTATTTATCTGTTTAAATTCTTTACAAGTAGTGGTGGAGAAATTCTTATAATTCTAGTTTGTTATTATTAATATTAATACATACTCTTTGCTACTACTAGAAAAAATATTTTCTGAAACTGCGGAAATTAGATCAAACGCATTTTCGTTGTAGCACGAGAGTCTGGAGTTAGTCCTTTTCAGCAATGGAATTGGTATTTTAAAACTAGAAATTTTCCCCGAATATAAAGACCAACGCACGCCTGCAACAACACAAAATTAGGATCAGTATTTATTTATTTTATTGAAATTACATACATTTGCTGACTTGTGTGCTCAATATAGGCTTATAAGTCATTGTCAAGTAGAAAATACAGATAGAACAATTCAGAGAAAGACATCACAAAGAATACATCCAGGGTTACGGCGGGATTCGAACCCGCTACCTCCACGCTTAACAGAGTGTTTGGACCGACGATACCGCTCGGCCAGGGAGGCCCCACAAAATTAGGATCAGTATTTTCCATTTGAACTGTTCGAAATCGATTCCACCATATAAATTTGTAAGTTCGAAAATCTATGATATTTATTTATTTATTCAATTTCGACATGAAATAACTAAGATAACTAAATCCTGTTGCTTGCACACATCAAAATAGTAAATTGTTTTGTTTGCTTTTTTAACTCAGCTCTTATGTTATTTAAATACATGTGAAATATCAAATATCGACATGATAGTCTATTTCAAGCGCGAAACGGTCTAACATGGCACTATGACAAATTCAAGAGTGATTTTTGTTTTCTCCAAATTGCGATTTAGATGAGCATAGGTTCTTGAACCAATATCACTGAGAAACTTCATGCTTACAAGCAAATGATTTTAAAAAAGAAAATAATAAGAAAAATAATTTTTACTTCCTACTTTTTTTAAGACACGTGAAAAAAATTTTATGGTGTTACCGCAATTAAAAGTTTGAAAGACAAATTTGAGTAACGTCAGGGCCTAATTATCGCATGAACAGAAGAGCACTTGTTTGTATTTTGTTGAAGGGGGGCAGCAATTGCAGAGGCCCCCAAACATTGATATTTAGAAACTTTCTATAAGAAATTTTTATTTTAGTTTTACACTTTATTCATGTTTGTGCCCTGTTAATTCATTAAACTTTTACAGTATTCTAATTTTTACCTAAACGAGTAATTAAGGACGCATATGTAACAACTTTGTTGTTTGTTGCTGTGAAAAAGTAGCTATAATCTACAATGTATTTCCATTCAAATAAAAATCTAAGACAGAATTTAAAATTGCTTAAAAATTTTTTTTAACAAAACCAATGATTGATTGTTCCGGCGAACAAGCATTTTTTTTTTGAGTGTTTAAAACACCACACAAATCTTTTCTCCTGCAGAAAAAATTAAGCATATCAGCTTTAATATGTCATGAGGCTAACTTGACAGCAAAACTAGAATTTGAAGATGTATTAATATTATTATTTGCATTAATATTTTGTATAATATAATATTTGAATTTGTTTAAATTTCTTGCTTGCATTTTTTGTAGTGAGGTTCTAAATATGAAGTATTAGATGTAATTATTTTAGTAAACAAATTAGAAAGAATAAAATATGGCTATCCCAAGTTAATAATTTTTTGTATATACCCGTTTTTAATTTGATTATTATTGATTTTGGTGGTGTTTTAAATATGTAGTTATGTCTAATAATAAAATTATACCTACCTTAGATAAAGAATAACTAGAAACATAATTTTAATTCTTCATT